TAAGTAACATGAAAGTTCAAAAATAGCTAAGTATATTATTTTTTTGGTCGATTATAACATAAAATAAGAAAACACTTTTTTATTATATTCTGCAAAAGAGACAAAGAGGTCTAATAAGTCCAGACTATATTGCCCGCTCTCTAACGAAAAACGTTCCTCTCTCCGTAACAGCGCAAAGTCAACTGGAAATAATCGGGAATGTAAAGTTATTTGTCATCAAAATATTCACATTTTCAGATTTAATATGCTAGGACAACCAAAGCTACGCTCTATTATACCTCCGTAAGGTACATTTCGAATTACCAAAAAGGCTAAAATAGGACTTGAGGCGCATGCGCCAATGAGAGAGACAACACTTCTGGGTAGTGGTATATTTGACAGAGGTAGTGAATTTTCACAATTTGTCTTACAACTGTTGTTGTTAGACGTCAGGGTTGAAATATCCAATAGGGGAAGTTACGACGGACTTACGAACACGTTTTTCTTTCATCAGTTTCAGTATCGTAAGTTAGAGCGTTGAAGTTATGCAGTTTTCATTGCCATTAGCCATTTTACTTCTATAGAACTTTTACTGATAATCAAGAACATATTTCAGGTGATAATAAACATTTATTATCATCATCTTTATATGTAAATGACCTCTACATATAAAGATGAGGGCAGACAGTGAGCGGGGCGCAGGTCACGCCGCAAGACCGTAACGCTTCTATCAGTCACTGTCAGCCTCAATCTTTATAGTGGATAACAATAATTATCTCATCGTCATTTTAACTATTCTCAATATCAGTGTGGTTTTTTCATTGTTGCTAGGTCACACTATTGTGAAGATTTGAGTACCTTATCATCCATTGTTTGTTTCTTTTTTTCTTATTATTACCACAGAAGAAAAAAAGTCAAATGCTGTTAATGCAAATGCATTAAACAAAACCACTTAAACATTGTACAAAAACAAATGATTTTTGTCTTAAATTAACTTCCAGCCCATTAATATACATCACATTCTTTATCAGTCTGCTGTTCATGAACTCAAAAATCTTTAAAATATTTGATCCTGTTAGAGATGTTATTCATTTGTTGAACCTTATTTAATTTTGTGCAAAACAAGCCATTATACACAATTATATAAGCTCCAATACTGACATAGCATCTGAATATTTATGCATATTTACACTCCTGCCTTTATCTCTGAAAAAAAATAATGACAATAAAACTAGCAATATTAGACAGGGGATTCTACACATATACTAAGCAATATGATACTATAACATACAATAAATTATAATTAATTATAATTAAATCTGTACAATAAATTTAATAATATTAAATGTAGGAATATGCTTCAAAAAATGCTCAAATGTGAACAAAATTTGTTAAAATACTTATGCCCTGTCTATGCACATATCAATATAAATATGAATCAAATATTTCATTGTGTTTCACTAATATTTATTTATTGTTATTATTAGTTTTATCTAATGTAGGTTTATCTCTCATTTACAAAACTATTACGAAAATTTAATATTTTATCTCAGCACCTACCGCATCATATTTCTACAACACCTTAAAGTCGACTGAGAGATAATGGTTCATGGCATTAAGTCCACCTTTGTACAACATGTGCAATTGGTATTAAATAAATATATGTATATAAATGATATTTATGATATGATTTGGCAAGTTTTGTCATTTATTTAAATCATATATTATTATGCCTGGGGTAGACAGCTGATGTGCTTAAAAAGTAATACATCCATAAAAAGGATTTTGCTTACCATTACCCAACTGTATAAGAACATATGTTTAATAACAATGCTATTCTGAGACTATCCGAATAGTTTCCATTTGGCATTCTCTCAAAATCTAATCTCATCTCATTTCATTTCAATCATTAAATTACAAAGTTGAGTATCTTTTCTTATAATAACTTTTATAGGTTCAACAGCTGAAATCTAACATTCTAAGTAAAAGCTCAATAGTAAAGCTAATTGAACTAAAACTAAATTTCGTAATTACCTATTAATTCATCTAATAATATCTTTTAAATAATTCAAATATACAATAGGAAGATGGTTATTTTATAATAATAATAATAATAATATTCTACCACATTCACACAACGCCATCTAGGCCCAAACTAAGCAGAGCTTGTACTATGGGTGTACTAGACAACTGATATAAATACATATATACTTTTTTTTTGTAAATACATACTTATTATACACACCAATTAAACACCAAATGTATCACCTATAATTATTGTTTAGATAATCAAAGGTCTTACAATTAAGTGTGGTCTTATTGATTCCAGTGTTATAGGCCAAGTGACAGCTAATTTAGTTTGGAATTCTTTTTTAAATTACGTAAAAAAGAATAAAAAAACGAGATTTTTGTATGTACTCAAATGTTATTAAAACTTAATAATAATTAATTCTGTAAATTGTGAATTAGACACTAAATTTCTATAGTATATAAACATATATGTTTTATGATGCATACATAAAAACAAACATCTGCAATAGCTTTGAAGAGATAACAAATACGATTATGTTATCATGGCATTTGAAAATGAATAATATTAATTCTTCATTTATACATACCTACTTTTTGTTTTGTCTCACTAATATATTTTTACTGATAGTACATTTGTTCATGTTATACACTGTCGACATAAAGAATAAAGTATTCATTAAGGTGCAATTTCAAATGGCAGAAGTGTTTGCAAATTAGAATCAATTAACATTGAAAGATTCCAAACTTGTGCAGATAATTTAAAATCCGTTTTTTTAGACATTTAGAATTTATGGTTTCTGTTAAAATCTAATCTTACCTTAGGTGTTTTGATGATATCCATAGCAGCAGGTCACAGAAATCGATAAAATAACCAATTCACGTCAAGTCTACATATGTTTTGTGTATTTAATTTTGGCGTACACAATTATATCAACAAAAGACTAAGGTATTATAGTTCAAATGATAAATGTCCGTTTTCTCCTCAATAAATTTATGAAAAAGATACTCAAACAAACAATAACCCACCGACTTGTTTGCTTTCTTTGACAATTAATTTCTGCGGACATATGTTTTGAGCTCAAACATCCGAGATGTAGATGTCGCAAAAGAGCTTCAAGCTACATCTACAATGACTATGTTTTATTTAAATTTTATTGTAGTTACAATAAAATTTAAGTCATCATCTGCCCCTATTAAATACATATATATAATGGCTCGGTGGTGCAGTGGTAGCGTATGCGACTTATTAACTTTTTATCCAGTGGCGCTACTCAGACTCCCTCGTAAATACTCATTCTTGACTTTGTCCATTCAAGTCACACATCACATCCACGCGTCGGTGGTAAGCACGCGATGACGTCTTGGTAGAAGGATGCGACCGCGGTAAAACATCAGTCACTACCGGCCATGGAGCGTATGATTGCCGGTAGCGAGAGATCCTCTTCAATGACTGCAATGAGGAGTCGTCGCTGAGGCGCAGAAGCCATGCAAATTGAGAGCGTGTGCTGAGCCGAGTCCTCACTGCAATTGCAGTGGTGACAGGCGGGTCTCAATTCCCTCCTAGCGACCGAGTGCAGGTATTTCCCGAAGCAGTCGTGCCCGGAAAGGACCTGGGTCAGCCGGAAGGAAAGGGTCCACGGCTAAGAGCGTAAGAGCCTATTAAGGGAGAAATCTACGCAGAATAACAACACTGCAGAGAGAAGGAAAACTTGACACAAACCCTATACCAACCCGTCTGGCCAGCGTGGTATAGTAGGCCAAAACCTCCTTTCTAAGGAGAGGCTTAAGTCCAGCAGTGGACTACTAAAGGCTGTTGATAACGATGATGATGATGATCGTAATATTGTATAAGATTTAAAAAAAAATTGAGATTCGGTAAAAAGTTTATATTTATATGCTTGAACTTTTTCATTATGATTATATAGATTATTGACATTCTAAATATTATGCATTTCCTTGGCATTTCCAAACCTGAGTATGTTTTACACTAATTTTTGGAGAAATCCATACAAGAAGACTGAAATTATCTTGGTAGTAGGTACATTAACTCCACATAAAGTTATAAATCGATGCACGGCATTTATAGAAGACTTGTCAAAACTAAAACTTTACTTTAAAAATGTGTCAATTCTACCCTGAACGATATAAAACTGTTTTTTTTTTTTTAGTTACAAATCAATAAAGGTAAATCGGTAGTATTATTATAAGTAATTTAAATGATCTTTTTCGAAAGAAAAATTACACAGGCACATTCAAGAGACAAAACTATTAAGCCTCCTGTGTTTAGTAAATAAAATTAGTTGTCCACTTTTTGTGTGTCGGTTTTGTTCTTCCGAGTAAAATCCATTATGGCTCAAGTTAAAATCGGGAATTAGTTAGTTAAACATTTTGAAACAAGAAAAGTAATTTTATGTTAGTAGATAATTTTATTGGAAGATGACAATACTAAGTATACTATAACTGTAGTTGATTCACAATATAAATCAATGGTAGGTAACGCTTTTCGCCTGAACATGATGTAGCCTATCAATTTCTCTTTACATTTATAAAAATCTCACTATTCTTCATAGCATTCCTACTCAAAGTAAACTTCAAAACAAAACAAACTGTCAACAAGTGCAGAAACAGAACCGTCATACATCTGTCACCTGTGACGTGTCAAAAACAAATGTCAAACTACGCATTTTATTTTTGTCTGTCACTGATAGCAAAAGCTTTGTTCGTATTCGGTCTAGAAAAACGACATTTTATCAAAATCGCATTAACAATTAATAAATTGTAACATTTACAATTTTTTTTGTCTTCGTCACTAGTAATTTTGTAAACGGCAACAATTCTGCGCTGTCATCTGTCAGCTGCTGTGACATGAGCTAGTATTTTATTTATTCAGTCGTGAAACAAAAACTATTTAATTTTGTAACTGCTGCTACAAACTTAGCAACACTACAATTTAAATATATCTTAATAAGAAAAAAACATTGCTCATAATAATGACGTCGGCAATGCCTAGCGCTGATAGAAATGAAGAACGTCGTCGTAGGGTAAGTTTTGCAAATTAATAAGTTGTAAGGATTCAATGAAGATCAAGTATGAATCATTGTTATTGCGTTCATTTCGGTACAACATCATAATGATTATCGTTGTTTTGGTCATAGCTAACAAGAAACTGAACCGGTCTTTTGTTATTTGTGTTCTATATGATAATTAATAGTCTCATAAAACTTCTAGAGCAATCTTAAGTGGTAATTTATGTGCTAAATCATTTTTTTCAAATTTAAAACAGAGATCTGTTATTATGCTATAAATATACTCATTACAGAACTAAATTGATAAACACTGGATGATTATTACTGTACCTAATTTGTTTAATTACTTTCAATTTGCTTAGATACCTTTAATTTAAATAGTTTTTTTTTACTCACAATGGATTACTTAATACTATTAGTTTAATAAGAGTTCATTGGTATTATTCCACTAGATTCCAGAATTATTCATTGTTATGCAATACTAGTAAAAAAAACTGGTGTGCTCATTATGTGAATAGGTAATGTTTCTATGTTTGTTTATTTTATAGCCAGTACATAAGGTTGAAAAGTTTAAGAAAACATAGAACATCTATTTGAATTTGTTCTTTCTAATTGAAGTAAATCAGTTTTGTTAACTTTTAAGAAAGCATAATTGGATAGTTTCACTACCAAATGATTTCACCTGTAAAGGTTGTAGTGATTTAGTAAATAATCTCTTTAAAATAATTGATCTCTTTTATTCTAAACTAGGTGTACCCGGCTACTCTGTGCTGTGACACATTATGGTTGCATTAATGAGGAATGAAAACAAAACAGACATAAAATATAAATAATAAAAACAATCTTTGAAGCGGGTTGTATATCATGTTATAGAATTGTTTTTATTTTCATGTTTTTAATAAGTTCATTATTGTATTGGGGTAAACCTGTTAAGATAGTGGAACAATGTAATAAGTAAACTAACTTTTTAAGACTTGAAGTGTATGCAAACCTGCTTTGTATTTATATGTATATAGATAACAATCAGAAAAATATCAATTCTAAGTGGATAAAATGATCAAATATTCTCCAAAGTGTAACTCAGAAATGGAATCTTTTTTTTTGGCCTGCTTCAAAAGTTTTTAATGTTTTCATAAATAGGTGACAAGATTAGGCTTCAAAATTCTGTAAAAAACTTATTTGAAATAAAATTCGAATCATTATTGTCAGTACAACAAGTATTTTGATTTAAGCCACTAGCAAACAAACAAACATCTTGTTTCATAAGAATTGTATAAAAATGTTACAATAAATTGAGTTAGTTGTAAACATAATTTATGCATTGTTTTGAATGAAGTTCAAGAAAAATGCATTGTCTTCATTATCACTTACATCATTCCTTTCTAATATTATTGTATGATTATCATTTGTTGAGTATTATTTGTTTTGTTTTTAGGATCGATAGGATCCTCAAAATAAAAAAAATAAAAAATTATCCTTATTATTTTTAAGAAATGAAGTAAGATAAGAATATCATTTACTGAAAATAGAAAGTTGAATTGAAGCATTACATTCAGAGCATCAAATTAAGAAAAAAAATCCAAGATTTAATTAATTTATTTTTTTTCCATTGAAAACAACTATAATTACAGGTTCAGCCCAATACAATAGTGTTATACCATCCATTTATTTGATTCAGTATCTGTCTAATATCTGAGTCTACTTGCTTTTTCATTAGTCATTAATTGATGTTCCTAAAACACAGCGGCAGGATTATCTATCAAAGCTATGGGATGTGACATTGGTCAGGGGCTTTCTTATTTACTAATGGACTAAGGGGCAAAACAGCAGATAGGTCACCTGATGGTATATGACACCTGGGCTTCCTTTTCCCAAGCTTGGTTGACCTCACTCAACCAGTGATAAGTAACAAAAGAGTTGCTTAACACAGGTATTCTGTTAGGCTGTGATATCACATCGGTTGAGCCAGTTCATGTGTCACACTTTAATTAGACATTAGAATTACATAATTATACATGTTATGTTGACTACAAATTAGACATCATGAATACATGTTTGATTCAAGATTTTACTACAGCTAATACTATTATTATTAAAATTTATAAATTTCTAACTAAGTTGAACTACATTTACAAATAATTAAAACAAGTCTTTATATATTTTTGAGTTGTGCTATTGGAGTGCTATTGTTTTGAATGAAATAAACTGCAGTGAATTGTGTAACTAACCCAAATTATATATTTCGTAATATATTTTTGGTTGTTTTGTGTGAATCTAACCAGACAACACTTATGAAACATTCTACAGCCGTTAGTTTGGACATGGTTGGTATCACATAATTTTGTAATAACACTTTATAGTGTTAACCTCTGTAAAGAATTATTGTACACTTTTTATTTTATTTAACCATTTAGTCAGTAGGCAAATATACACATGGCTTGTCTTGTGGTAAGTAAGTGATTACAGTCATTTATAATAACTCACTAAAATGGAGTTTTTATTTATTATTTAATAACTTTTTATCCCTCCAGAGAACTGATTCCGCAAAAGTAGCAATACTTGTTTTTGTTTACTGGTAAACCTCAACCTCCTGTAGGGTAAAGTCATGTGAAAATCTGTTTCTACTATTCTCTAACCCCATTTGCAAGCCTGGGCTTGGTGTTTTACAGCTTGTAAGATCTTTTATGTCAATGATTGATAATGCTTACTATATACATAAAATTTTAAGCCATAAAATGTTTTTGCTGGTAGTTATAACATAGGATGTTTCACAGGTGCTGTTGGGTCCATTACCAGCCGGTTTCCTCCGAGCTGATGGTACTACTGAGAGCATTGATCCTGACTATGAAGCAGCACTTGCTTTGCAGCAGCAGCTGAGTGGGGCCACAGTAAGTCTTACTATACATCTGCTACAGCGAAACCTGGTTCAGTGAGACATCAAGACATCAAACTTGTCTCTCTCACAGAGGTATTCCACTTACCCAGTGTCTCAGATATCCAGGTATAAATAAATATCTGCCTCATTTACAGAGGGTTCCATTAATAGAGGTCAGAATACAGGTTATTTCAGTTATAGAGCTATGATTATTAAATAAAATAACATATTATGTAAACATTATACGTTAGTTTTAATCTTTATTGGGAATGGAAAAAGATAATTAAGGTAATAAATGTAATAAACAAAAATATTTAAGCACGTTTTTCTACAAATAGTACAAAATGTAAACAGCAGACATAAAAAAAACAAAAATGTAAGCAAAAGGATCAATTATAAAAATTTGTCATTTTAGTTTGTCTTTTGGAGGTATCAGCCATTAGATGTTTTTTGATGTTACAAATTTTATCAAATATGCTTTGGTCACCAATTGATGTAATTTCAAAATAACTGTGCAAAGTTTCTAGTGCTTTTACTGCTTTGTGTTTAACGTATGTAAATAAACAAAACGATGTTATCTCTGTCACAGAGGCACATATAAAATTCACACGCTGTCTCAGTTATAGAGGTAACTAAGACGATAAAATCGAAAAGAACGAATCCCAGATATAGAGCTTTGCTTCGCTCACTAACAAAGGTAATTCAGTGTCAAAGTGTTGGGACCTCAGCATAAGTTCCAGTTATGGAGGTTTCTCTCTTATCCAGGTCCCACTTAACCAAGTTTCACTGTATATACCTGCCTACACTGTGTATAACATAACGTTAGCAACGGCAACATTTTATATGTTGCCGTTTTAAACCCGAAATATATCGTTTTAAACGTCTGAAAACTCGCCTATTTTGTCTATATATTATGGGCATTTTTGGTGACCTGAAGTCATGTTTAGTTTTAATTAGTTTATAGAAAATCAATAGAAAGTACCCACCCACATTACCTACCACACGAAAACTTAAGTATGTAGGTATATCTACCTATACTTATTTATTATAACACACACACTAGCTTAGAAGACATCGTTAACACAGTGCCATCCGTTTTACTTGCGCATGAAAGAGACAACGTTATGTCTTCAATGCCGTCGCGCCGGTGCCGATGGTGTCAACGAGAGTGCGAGAGTGTGTTTGGTTTTAAACCGAATCAAATTGATTATTTATATCGTTTGAAAAGAAAGGAAAAATGTTTATTTACCAACACAGAGTTTTTCGCTTATCAATAGAGTTTTTATAAGTTAAAAAAAAAGGTAGGTAATACCTACGCTTGGTCGCACGGAGCAACTAGAACTTAACCCGCTAAGTATATTAATATCAGTATATCACACATATAAAAAATCTTTACACAGTTTATAGGTACTTCGTCATACCTCGGTAAAATCTAGAAAATGAAGTTATAATTAAGAAAAAGTCATCAACACCAACCGTTTTAAATCGAAAGTTTTTAAAAGTTTTAAACGTTTTTTTTTGTTTTAAACGCATTGGTTTTAAACCGGCCTTACATGTACAGTCGGGCCAAATGTTTGTGTGCTCTACAAATATTTGTTTCGGAGTTTGGGTGTTTTCTATGTATAGTATGTATATATATTACAAAAAAAAGAATATTGAAAATCGGTTCACAATTGACGAAGTAATCGATGAACATACATAAAAAAAAACACAGTGGAACATAGAACCTCCTCCTTTTTTGAAGTCGGTTAAAAAGAAGTATATAAGTATTCTGCTTCACAACGGTTTTCTGTTAGGCAGTGGTATCCTTCTGGTCGAGCCGGCCCGTTCTGGCTGATCATGGCTCTCCCTACTGACCGGTACCAACAATGATTATGTAGGTCATAATCATTATCCGTAAGCAATCCACAACTAATTGTAGCAATGCCAAGTGGTAAAATTAAACACAAGGTACTATAATTGTCTGTGTGGTGACGGATTCAGAATCCGGAGTGTCACCACCCCTAATCATCCCATGGGTGTCGTAAAAGCCGACTAAAGAAACTTTGCATGACAACAGCACTGCAAATAGAAGGGAAACTTGAAACAAACCCTGTATAAACCCGTCTGACCAGCGTGGTATAGTAGGCCAAAACCTCCTTTCTAAAGAGTGGCTTATGTCGAACAGTGGACTTTTAAAGCCTGTTGATGATGATAGTAGAATGCCATCGGCCACCGTTAGCTGAAAAACAGACTGAAAGCATTTTTATTAAACTAGGGCACTAAATAGAACACGTGAAGTAATCAGATGTTTAATAGGCGTCGGTACAAGTTACCTCCATACATTCATTCACACTTGATGTATATTATACATGTTATCTATACATATGCTACAAGTATACATTGTATTAATAAGATTACCAACCCACTATGAAAACCGTTGAAGCACTGCAGTGCTCGACTAATTGGCTAAAATTATTTTCGTATCACTTAGGTAACTATCTCTTATTTTGCTACATTGCAACCATTGACTTGAATAGTCATTTATAGTCATTACTCTTACATGGACTCATCTGCATTTATTTTATTTATTAATTTTTATACATTTTTATGCACTTATATACATGGGCCAACCTTTGGGTGATGTTGTACATTTATAGTTAATATGTTAATCTTGTTTAGATACCAACAGCTGGCCCACCACTGACAGCAAGACTCAGCATCACAATAGCGCAGGCTAAACTTTCAAAAAATTATGGTAAGTGGTTTATAAATTTTAAATAATACTCGTATTGTAACAACTACCAATGTTGTAAATGCAAAAGTAGCTGTCTATCTGTCTGTTACGCTTTCACGGCTATAGCGCTGAATCGATTTAAATTTAATTTGGCATGGAGATACTTGGATTCTTGAGGCAGGACATAGCCTTATTTTTACCGCGATAATGAACATACACGACCGTGGAGCAACGGGCATAAAGTAGCACATAAATAAAGGTGACGGTGGTTTTATCTAGCATCCTTCTTGTCTAGCAAACTTGTACATAAGTTTGCTCTGTTCGGTTTCGATATACCATTTACGTGGAGTGATAGATAATATTTCTTAACTACGTAATATTCTATCTTAGTATCATCAGAACCATGGTTGGCATCCACAGCTGATGTTCTTTATAATTCATCCCGAAAAGAGTGTTTCGTAAAAAAAAACCTATAAATGTTAAAATGATGTAGATAACATAGCAAGTTGTCGTACCATAGTTTAGAGGCTTTCTATCCATATTAGCTAGATCATTTTATTAATAAAAATTAATTAATAATCATGGGCAAAACAAATGAAAATCTTACAATTCGACAAGTATCGTTATAAAATGGGATTTGATAATTCTAATATTTCAATATACCTGTAAGTAATGTGGATTTTCACGTGTGTGTGTGCCATTTCTATTTTATATGCTTTTTAATTGATAAATATTGTGTCAGGTCTGACCCGCATGGACCCGTACGTACGAGTACGAGTAGGACACTGCATCTACGAGACCCATACTGACCCTAGCGGTGGTAGAACTCCCAGGTGGAACAAAGTCATTCACTGGTAAGCCCTTCCTATCCTAACTAATATTATAACTACTTTGTTAGCGTTTTTATGTTTGTCAATCTTGTTTCTTAAATCTACATAAAGACATAAAGTACATTTTTCCAAAAAAAAAATACTGTGCCCTCGGGATAGATTTTTTTAAATTTCAATATTTGTTTTTTACTCACATATTTTGTAGTATATTTACGTATTATTCTTAATCATCTCCAAACTTTCTTTGTCTCTCTAGCCTCCTACCACCTGGTGTTACTTCGATATATTTAGAAATATTTGATGAGTGTTCGTTTACGATGGACGAGCTCATTGCTTGGACTCACATCAACATACCACCAGCTGTACTACAGGTAAAGTTGAATGCAATCGTGATTAATTACATTACCACCATTTATATAACTATTAACTCTACCGTCCTATAAATAAAGATTTTTTCTTGCTACGTGAGGGAGCCATGCTTCGACATATATGGGCCAGGCTCGACCGGAGTTATACGACTTCACAGAAAACCGGTGTTAATGAAAAAAACAACACAACTCCTTTCACCAACACAATTCACTATGAAAATTAAATACAACCTACTTAATGAAGAATTTTTTAATGAACAACTTAAAAGTACAGGCAGTATAACAGTAATATGGTTTAAACACGCCAAATCCTGAAAACTGAGTTAGCGTAGCCCAAATACACTAACAATTACGGTGAAATAAAATTAGCATATGTCATTCCATTCATGATTAACGATTTACAAATATCATTTAGGGAACAGTTAACTCCAAAAAATATTAAATATAAACCAGCAGAATAATTGATAATTCTGTCTTACGTTTATATACCTACATGCATACATTCATCCATACATATACATACCGGACGTAATTATAGCATTTGGTTCACATCTTTACAACATAGGCCCCATACTTTTAAAATTGTATTCATTAACCATATTTTATGTAACACTGCAATATACCACTCTGTATAATAACGCGTTACTTATCTCTGCATAAAAAATGTTGCGATCGGGTGTTGATATGGTGCCGTGAAGTAGTAAGAAACTTTGGTTGGGAACTGAATGCACCTACATGCTTAGACTACCCACCCAAATTAATAATTATGCCTTTTAGCATTATCCTATGCAACTATACAGAAGATAGTTGTGTTGATGTATTTAAAAGTACTTTAGTTTAGTATTATATATCCTTGGTTACTGATTAATTTAGTCATAATTTATTACATAATTTATTATTGTCTTTGCTTTGTACCTTATTTTGTTGCAATAATTAAAATCTACTGTGTTTTGTGCTCTTTGATAGCCTGTAATGAAGCATGCGTCTGACGAATAGTGTTATCAGATAGGAGGATATATTTTATTTAGGTACCTTTATCTTTTGTTCAATGTACGTATGTAACCTTTGAATAGCGTGACAAACTGAAAATTCCATCTGTAATGTTATGTAGGTAAATGTATATGCAAATAATACGGTAGTTTAGCGTGAAGTCAAATCAGCTCTTTACTAAACGTTAAATCAGTATTTTCTTTAGGAATGTATATGATTTAATGAGTTATGACGTCATACGAAGCTATTGTTAAATCATTCACTTTTAATATTTGTTTAACAATAAAACTAATTCTTATTTTACATCAATAGCCTTTAATAGTTCACTGCTGGACATAGGCCTCTCCTAAGAAAGGAGGTTTTGGCCTACTATACTACGCTGGCAAGACCTGTTGATATAGGGTTTGTTTCAAGTTTTTCTTCTTTTTGCAGTGCTGTTGTCTTGCCCTTAGTCGGCTTTTACGACAGCCACGGGATGAATCCGTCACCACACCGACAATATGATTTTAGTGTTACGTAATTTTATATAGACTATCAAATAATTTATTTAAAGGTTAAGAAATTGCCCTATATTGTTATGTTATATGTGTAAAGTAATTTGTATGTCGCAGGGCGAGACATACGACGATTGGTTCCCTTTGAATGGGAAACAAGGAGATGGCAAAGAGGGTCACATCAACTTGGTGCTCAGTTATTCGGTAAGTTGCTTTGTTTGCTAAATATTCTGTACTCTGACATCCTCCTATATAATTGAGACGGGTATTTCTTTATTCTGTATTTATTCATAACTTAACAATCATATAGTAAAGTAAAAACTGATGAGATTGAGAAACCTTTCAAACAAAAAACTAAACCAAAATCGATCGAGCCATGTAAGGGGTATGATGCCACATGGGTTGAGGATTAAAACAACAATTATTGAGCAGGTTGGCCCGGCAACCGTCGCAACATTCCCACCAATGCTGGTAGTGCCAAGCACCGGTATGGGTTACGCAGCAATGCCAGTATACCAGGCAACACCACAGCAGATGGCGCCACAACACATGGCGCCACGACCCCACATGCCACCACCTCCGCAACAACCACCTGTCACTCCTGAACAATTGCAACAGGTGAGAAATGTTTCAGAAATAAAAATTTTTATGGAAGACGGAACGACATAGGAAGAAACGGGCAGACGAGTCACCTCATGGAAAGCGACTACCACCGCCCATGAACGCCTGCAGCAAAGGAGTTACAAGCGCGTTGACGGCCTTTGAGGAAGGATTACGTTCTTTTCTTGAAGGTCATATCGTTCCGGAAATACCGCAGACGTTAACTTGTTCCACAGATTGGTTGTGCGAGGCAGAAAGTGTCTTGAAAAGCTCACAGTAGTGGAGGTATGTATTACTGATACCTGTACAAGAGGTACTGCAAATTGATCGATATACTGCCATATACCACAGCCTCAAAGAAAAGAGTGAGTAAAGAAAAGAGTGAGTGAGGTTACCGGAGCCCAAACTACCGCACCCCCTGTTGGGAGGAGGGGGAGGGAGGGTTAACGGTCGGCAACGCTCTTGTAACTCTCTAGTTGCAGGTGACCATTAGCCATTAGATAACGTCTATGCGGTTGCTCCCTTCCATAAAAAGTACTGTAATATTAATAAGGTACAGGCAAACTTGAAACATTTTGGTTCTGAGAACGAAATCAGGACTTGCGGTTTCTCTTTACTATGCGCGGCGCCTCCCTACAATTCACCGGTCGCACATCTTGAACGATAATTTTCATGTCAGCACGCGTCGTGTGCGCAATGTATTCTAAAACGATTGTAAGTTAATTCACAATACATCAGTTACTATGTTCATAAGTCTCGTTATTTCTACCAGAACCACAGCTATCGAACTTAACAAGGACCTCGTTCTTATCTTAATAAGGATCAGTTTACTATGAAGTACACATTTTTATCAGATCTCTAATTTAAAATATTAATAACACACTTTGCTAGATCACCTAAAAAATTGAACCATAACGCGCTGCTAATACGGTTGATATTCTGATATTCGCCATTTTTTCAAATTAACTTAATAATTGCCAGTGTAAGTCTAAAACAAGTTTTATTCACTAACCAGTATTGACTTGTACCTTGCCTGGTCACATTATAAATAGTTATGCAATAATAGAAAAAACCGTTAATAATATAATTAAAAAAGCTATTTTACTTTTTAACAGACGTTTAAGTCGGTTGTAATTTGTTAGGACTGTTTTCTCTAAACGTATTCATTGTTTAGGAGAAATTTCTTTGAAGTTGGTTGAATTTTTGAATATTTTTTATACAGTATTTTTTGTTACGTCCACAGTATAAGTATAAACATAATAAATTTATGTCTCTAGATCGAGGAGATGTTCCCGAGTATGGACAAAGAAGTAATCAGATCGGTGCTTGAAGCCAACCGCGGCAACAAGGACGCTACTATTAATTCCCTGCTGCAAATGTCAGAGTAACATTTCAATGATGGTACTACTACACTACTACCACTATAGCAGACCCAGATACGGCTTTGTTTAGCTGCTTCGGCTTTAAAACATGGCCGCCCAACAGATTCATAGAATTATTGTTCAATAGTGATAAAATTGCCCAAGTACCCACAATAAGTATGTACAGTCGCAACAGATTAAAAAATGGGCTCTTTTTTAAATGAAATAAAAATATTATTTAAGAGATTTTCCCTTTATGGAAAAACAACAGTAATTAATTTGATACTCTTATATTATGCTTTTGAAGTTGACTGTATAGCTTGCAGTAGAATAATATTTTATTATTATTTAATACAGTTTACTTTCAATATATCAATAATCTGATTTCTGTCGCTATCACAAGATTGCTTTGAAACAAAATTGTTATAAAACGAATGATAGATATTCCATCTATCGATGAAATGAGTCTTTTTGGATTATAGAGAAATTTATGGATAAACAGTTCTTATTGGGCAGCCTTGTAGCAAAGCGTCGCAAACAATGCGTCTTAGTCCTGGATAGTGAGTACAAAGTGAATAATATATATCTGCAACTATTATTTCATCTCAAATAATGAAAAATCCCGCGCCGTCGACTTTTATTCACTGCTATTGTAAGTCAATTGAAGAAGGTCCTATTCTCGTTTTATGTTAGGTAGCACAAGAACCAGTTTTTGCCATCATATCATTGATTGGCTTATCTATGTAAATTTATAGCTTGTTATTTCCAATGAGATAATAATATACAAAATGTACAAAAAGTAATTGATAAATATAGAGATATATAGTCCAACATAACCACCGCTGGGTTGTATCCTAGGGGGTTTCCTCACAGGAAGAAAAGGTATATAGTGAGCAGCTAGCAGAGATATTAATAAATAAACTAAATATTTAAACTTAATTAAACTCAAAATTAAAATATGACATTTTAAAAATCAATATTCAGGGCTAGACGACTAAATAGCTGAAATATGCTTGCCTAATTGAAGCCAGACACACTTAAATTATTGTCATATCTCGTTCTGCACGATAACTATCGGACTAGAGTATTTATCAAAGTGGTCTCTTATCTCTTTGGATTATAGACAGAGGTAATGACGTACGTAGTGTTCTGACGTCACAAGGGGTGTGTACTTTCTCGTACGCATTCAAAAGTTGTAACGTCCTATTATAATGAATTAATCAATTACCACGCCTATCTTGTTATTTACATAACTTTGATTTAAAGAAACTTTCGAGAATAGATTTCCGAGAATCATGGCGGTTCATCATTGCGCATATTTTGCCTACATTACAATTTATGAGCAAATAATTACTAATGAATTAAAGTCACTTATACATTCTTTTTTAGACTTATATTATACGTGTAAAGCGTACAAACATTTGTTGTCCGCCATTTTAATCGTAGAAAAAATAACAGAGGTATTCTTTAAAACACGAGTGAGTGGCTCGTGATTCTCCCATCCCCAGACCGAAGACTTGAATTTTTTTATTACTATTACGAAATAAACTTCGAAATTCGACGTTATTTTTAGCCTAAGTATTTTATGTATGTGACCGACCGAAGATAGTTTTCATAGTTGAATAAACTAATAAAATAAAGATACGTGGATAACTTGACAGATAAAACGCAATTGGTAATTTAATAAGTCGTTATTCAAGCCGATCATATGAAGATAATACTGGATCTTTCTAAAGCGCATAATAAAGAATATTCGTCATAATGTAACTAATTCCTTAAGTGAGCTTTCGAAATTGCTCCTGGTGTCCAGAATCCTGATTGGCAATATCAACGATCCTACTATAGCTGCCCTTAAGGCTGAAAGGTTTTTTTGGTTGTGACCAAACAACTTTTCAGCCAGATCCGTAAATCCATATCCATACAGTTGCATACTAGTTTTTATCCACGACCTGAAAAAAATGTTTTAAAAAAATATGAAAACATTTTAAAGATAACTAACAAAACAACTTTTAATTTTAAGGTATTTTATAAAATGATTGTTGAAAGTAATTGAAAATGCCCTTGAAGTCATTAATTTACAGAGTTTGAAGGTGAAGGTTGGTGATTCTTGAAACTTCTATTTATATAAATTACAATATCAAACTATACTGGCTGGTATGACAGTAACTTTCTTAATTTTAATTAAATAAATTAAATATTCATTTCGACACAGATAAATGTATATATGTGTCGAAATGAACATTAAATTTATAATTACTCTAAAAACCCAACGACCCTTCATTTCTTTTAATAATTGCATAATAAAAAAACCTATCTTGGAATAAACAAACACCCAATACATAAGTTCTTTAGCGAATATCTTAACATTATCGTAAAAAAGTTAACATTCTAATGAAAATTTTTATTTATGTTGCTCAATATTTTAACACAATTTAGTTCTATAAAATGTTTGTTAAGTTGACACATTGTTATTCCAATATTTAAGAATTGTAGATGCATTATCATTATTATTGTAGTTTTAATAATAAAATGGTTATTAATTTAAGATTAAACAAAATGTTATTAATTATTAGACCTAAAATCTGCGATTACTTTTTAAAATATCTTTTTGCAGAAGCGAAGCGTGTTTTATATATTACATGAAATGATTATAAATAACATATGTAAAATTATAAATAAAAACATTTTTGAATATCCTAGCCTTATATGAAATCACGCGGAAGCTTAGATTTTGTGCCAAATTATTTGCCATCTATGCGACATGCTTGAATTTAAAATGTAATAATGTTGTATTTATTTGTAAATTTACAATGTATAAATATATAAGTTATTAAAACCTTATGTACTTCTTTTTTTTAATAGTCCAAAAATTATTATCTAAAGAACGTCTTAGGTTTGTTTAGCTGGCTGGCAATCTCATTACAGTCATCGAAGGGATCTCTCCGGCCGTCTGCGCTCCATGGCCGGTAGCCTCCACACAGGCCCAATTCGTCGCCGGCGAACCGGGCAGTGGAGGCGCGTTTACCACCTCCTCATACCGCCCTGAGTGGCCCTACATCCGCTATAGTGGCCAGGCGCGAGGTGGCGACGTCTGCGTGCCGTACGTCGCCTAAATAGACAATTCACCCGAAGGTAGTGCTCGCGCATTGCGCATAACAGCAGTTCCCGGATCCCTCCTATTTCAGGCGCAGAGTAGCACACCGTGTGGTTTGGGTCGCTCCGATTCCGACATACTACCCCGCCGCAAACCTCGGTGGGGTGACGGCCCGAGGGGATGTACATACGTAAAAAAAGCTTTTCCAGTTTGAGGACGGACATTCCACGGATACCCGACTTACCATGATCCTTTGTAAACGGATTACATTCCCAAGCAGGGTTGGTAGCCGGCCATAAAGTAAGTCGCCAAATTACGGCCGCATTGACATAAAGAATATTGGAGTATGTAACAGTATTTATGACCTTTCCAATATCAGACTGAACCAGACTGTTGTATAAATAATATGTTGGCTGTAAATAGTTCATAATAAAACAATGCAAAGCAAAAAGAAACTTAATCATACTCTACACAATACAGTATAAGCAACTCTTATGACTATGTTGAGGGCACATGGAAAATGTTAATTTGGTTTGATACCCTTTATCTTGTTTATAAAATCGACATCATTATATACTAACATCATCATCAACAGCCTCTATTACACTACTGGACATAGGCCTGTTCGCGGTGGATCAGCGCACACGATCGTGGGCCTCGGTAATCTCCGTCCACATACTTCTGGCCTGTTCGGCAGACGGCGCGTCACGAGCTGCGCGTGGGCGGGAGGCGGCCGATGATATATCAGTGCGGGCGCCGCGGCTCGCTCCCCCCTTTAACGACGATTAACGAGCATACACGCACTTAAACTTTGTACCTTATAATTACATTAATTCAATTATACCAGCGTTACAGTCCTGTCGTGGTTTAATTTATACAAGTTCAGAGTTCCCTCCATACTTATAAAAGGGCATTGGGCTCATAAGCCTCACTTTAGAAAAGAAGGTTTTACTATATAAGTCTATATATATAAAAGAAAGTCTTGTTAGTTACACTATTTATAACTCAAGAACGGCTTTACCGATATGGCTGAAAATTGGTGAGGAGGTAGCTTAGAGCCAGGAGACGGACATAGGATACCATTTATTCCGAAAAAAAAATAAAAAAAAAGTTTGCACGAATTTTGCTTCACTCGGAGACGCCACGTTATTATACTTGGAATGCTTCATCAAAGAATTTTCAAAGACGGAAGATTTTTTCTAAGAAAAAAATTAACTTACTAAATTCGAAAATCGGCTTATTTATTGCCTTTAAGGCGGAACAGAGTTCGCCGGGTCAGCTAGTATAATATAATCTGAAGTATGTCATATACATAGCATACAATATACTCGTACATATTTTAGAGGGTTTTACGAATATACATACAAATTAAGGATAATCTGTGCAACTAAGGGAATAATAAGGCATTTAAATACTTCCTCCTGAGAAACGATTGGTCGTTAGTCTACCCTCTGACTTGCAGGAATCTAGGCAGCGTGAGGACTACAGTTATTGGTAGGGAAGAAGTATGAAAAAAGGTTTTGTCTAATGATATCATTGACAAATTAATCTCTGATGCTTTTTACTTTAAAATTAATAAAAAATACAATATTCGAAAATAATCGTTTAATTATATTATTTATACTTTACACTGCCTTTCTTTTTATTAACATTATTCTTCTTTTTTTTCTCGCTCTCATCTTCAGCATTATTAGCCACTGCTTTTCTTTTTATCTTAGAAATCTTGCCAATGACATTTTTGAACCTATCATCTTTTTTCATCAGTGACTTATTAATCTTTTTCAGACCGTCCTTGATTGTGGCATCGATATCTTCTGGATCATTCTTTTTTTGAGAAATATCCTCATTTTTGATCTGCGACTGAACCTCCTTGATCTTCGCTAGTTTTGCTTTCTTTGCCGCCTTTATTCTTTTTCTCCTCATTTCTTCTAAACTGTTGATGAAACACATTCAATTAATAACCGGTTAAGTTATATTAAATTTTTTTTAATAAACTACGAGGGCGGGTCAATAAGTCCGTGACTTTTGGAATAAAACGCAGATTTTTTGATAAATAAATCATTTATTTTTCAACGTAGTCTCCTTTGAGCTCTATACACTTTGTCCAATGCTTCTCCAATTTTTTTATCCCTTTAAAAAATATCCTTCAGATCTTTCCTTAGGGACGCAGAGGCCATGAGTATTTAAAATGGGACTAATCCCTACCACACGCCCACCACTGTAACTCCTGTGTACCCGCAACGAAATTAATCAGAATTGGAGGAGTTGGAAATATAATAAATCCACTTCCCTCCCCCTCTCACCAAAGCGGGAGACAAAATGAAGTAAAATAGGCATACACCATTTTAAACAGGGAAGCTCCACGGCCACAAAATATTACGGGTCCTACGTGAGCTATATTTGATTTCTATAATATGTATGGCAGAATCGCCTAAACGCACGGAAATTCACCCTAGTTGTCACAAGATCCCCATAGTATACCGCCCCAGATGTCACCTGCAAGCTATTCAGCATTATATTATGTTCATTATACCAAAGACTACATTCCCAGAGGATATGATGAGCAGACTGTTCATAGTGAGAGTTAGGTGTTGAGCATTGACACAATGGTGACTCGACTAATTTAAATGAATAAAGCTTGCTCTTAAAGTTACCATGACCCGTAAGAAATTGAGCGACACAGTGATCCACCTCAAGCCATATCCTCGACAACCGTTCGCGAACAGATCGAAAGAATTGGTAAAGATGGCGCCCCTTGGATGATTCGTCCCAGCGTTGTTGCCATTCATCTATGAGGTCATTATAGACATCGGACTGCTGTTGAAGCGACCTTGTAATTTTATCGCGATCTCGTGCGCCCAAAAAATCGCATTCTGTGTTTTGTTGTCTTGAATAGTACATGGCTGCACGTCTCTGCACCTCGAGATCGACCGGAAGCACACCCGCCAACACCGGCAAAGCCTCGGTGCTAACCGTCCTATATGCCTTGCACAAGAATATCAGTGCAAGTCGTTGGCCTTGTAACAGTTTGCGACGGACAGCGCCTACGGTCGCCCTATCGGCCCATACAGGTGCACCATAGCACATAGAACCTAAATAAGTAGCTCCGTATATGATCTTCAATGTATTAAATGATAGACCCCATGTCGCAGTTGATATCCTTGTCAATGCACAGAAACTCTTTTTAGACTTTTCATTAACTATTTTAATATGTTCGATAAATGAAAAGTTTCTTTCTAAAACTAATCCTAGGTAACACACTGAGGTTTTATTTTTTACAGTAACATTGTCAAATTTAATGCTTGGAGGTGATTTGAGGTTACCTTTTAAAAGTAGCTGGAAGGTTTTGTTGGGTGCAAAAGTTAAACGATTACGTTCACCCCATTGAGATATCAAGTTCAAACATCTAGTGCCATGAGTATGTGGTGTTTCCACTATAAACTACCTTGACGGCTCGCTTGAGGCGCACTGCTCTGGGGAGGACCTGAACCATGTCATTTCAGATGACCCACGTCGATATTGAGCCGATTGCCCAAAATCGACGTTTGGATCGCATCAAGCCGCGATTAGGTAGTCCGCCGCCCTTTCCATTACCGTAGCCTCTAATCTAAATCATTGAATTCCCGTATGCGAAGGTTTATATACTATGTGCAACCTGTGTGTAATCTCAGCCGTATTAGTAAAAATTAGTCTCACCCTTCCTCCATCATGTCTGGGTCGACGCCTGCCTGAATCCACCTCTTAATGCGATAATTCTTTTTCCTTTGCTCAAACTCCTCGTTGTCTAGTTGAGCTTCCTGTTCGCGGCGTGTTACACTGACCGTTGTAAAAATCTTCACTGCTTCGTCATCTATAAATAAAAACATTGATTATCAGTTTTTTATAACGAATAAACGAGAGCTGCCCATGAAATAATAAAATTGTAAACATAGTTTAGTGACTGTACCTTGCCAGCAGTACTAAAAATCTAAAATCATAAATACAGTACCGTATTATTTAATTAAATTCTAATACGTCGCTCGAATAGCTTTCTTTTGTAACACAAACATACTTTGAATGTCAGCAGCATTTCCCTACAACAAAATACCGTATGACATTACACTATGAAAATAGCTAAAATACACTAGTCTAGCTGTTTCTACATCGGTTAATTGACGAATTTTATAATGCTTCAGAGCTGAGTATTCTACAATCCATCAATGTGCAGGCCCCACTGCAATTTAGAGTCTAAAGTTATACCCAAAAATTTAGTGTTGTCCACAAGATCCAACTCCTTTACATTTATCAGAACACTGGTTTTTATCTGCTTAACATCTGGTGTATCTAATACATTTAGTTTTTTTCTCGTTTAAAAGTAAGTTATTAACGTTGAACCAGTTCACGACCTTGGAGAGAGCCGTTATTCACATCGTCAGTAAGTGTCATCCGCAAATAGTCTCTTGATTATCTTTTACAGCTTAGGTGGGACATTTAAATAAACGAGAAACAAAAACGGGCCGAGAATTGAGTCCTGCGGAACCCCCATAGTGACCAGAGACCCGAGGGACCTCTGTCCATTAACTTCCACTCTTTGGATCCTATTATGCAAATAAGTGATAAGTAGATCCAAAGCAGTATATCGTTCATTGGTATTGTAATTGGAATGGTATATCCCCATCCATATTTAATTAATAGTATGCCATGTTCTCACCATCAATTTTATACTCGGTTAACTTAGTTTTGATTACATCTTCAATTTCTCCGAGCCTCAGTATATCGTAGGGAGTGATGAGAGATATCGCCATCCCGCTTCGCCCCGCACGAGCCGTTCGACCCACTCTGTAGTACAGATAGGATATATGTTTAAGATATAGAGTTAAACGTTAAAAAGTTATATTTGTATTTCATTTTTTTTTAATGTTTAGTAATTTTATAAAACAATGGTAGGTGAACTTGCCGAAAATTAAACGTAGTGGCTTATTTCGAGTTTAAAATGATTGAAATATTTTGCTACCATATTTTTTAATTATTTATATGTTTATAAAGGGTAACATAATGAACAGGAGTAAATAAACATTTTCTCTAAACAGTACTTTATTGCAACTTAATTTACTCCACTATTTGCATTCCCTTTTTGAATATTTAACATTTTCTATACTCGTTGTAGCAAAAAACTAAAATTACTTTATAAATTGTAAATTTTCTCCTCAAAATAAATGAATAACACAAAGACAAGAAAATTAATTAGAATGGCGAATTTTGCCAATAGCCTTATTATAAAGAATTTTTTTTTCTGGCTTTTCCTCAATTGAGTTCTGGCCCTCAATCAATATCATGCCTTGCTACACCATCTCAGTTTCATTTACGTAACTAATTCTAAATTATTTATTTCTTTTCATTTAAAAGGAACATACCTGTGAATATACTCCTTAGGTTCCAAAGGCAACTTGTGATTCACTACAAGATCCACGGTAGGAATATCCAATCCCCTAGCAGCTACATTGGTAGCAACCAGCGTGCATTTGAGATTACTTCTAAACTGCGTGAGCGCGGCCACCCTTTCCTTCTGCCGCATGAAGCCATGTAAACAGACGTTGTCCATTGATATAGCGTTCAGCATCATCGAAAGGACTTGACATTCTCTGTAAAAAAAACAAATTAAATTGGTGTACACCACATGAGCAGTTATCACAAACAGAAAGTTGAATTGTTTGTTATTGAGTTTATGGTATTTACTGGTCAGGTTTTCGCTTGTTTTATGTATACTTTGTTTTAATTTTATCTTAAAAGTGGGTTAGTAGAACCCAGTGTATTGGGGTGACTTCAAACACTTAAACCCTCCATTATTGCAACAACAAACTCCAACATAAAAATTTATTATTTATTTTAATTATTTATTGACTTACACTTTTTTCGAAACAAAAGGTCTTTATGTCCTTTTTTTGTCCTCCTGTCAATTTTAATGATGAACTGTTAAGCAGTTAAGGACTGAAAGGATTACAAAACTAACAAACACTTTTTTGCATTTATAATATTACTTTTGATAAATAAAAATAAAAACCATACATACTTTTTAGTATCTGTGAAGACGATAATGTGTGAACTAGGTTTAGTCTCGCGATACTTGCGCAATGTTTGCACTAAGTACACGTCGCGCGCGTATGCCGGACACACTACGTAGCGCTGGTCAAGTGTGGACACCGTCAGTGTTGTGTCTGTCTCCGTCCATGTAAGAAGATTCTGTAAAGACAAAATATTACACATTTTATTAGAACTGCAGCAGAACTTTTAAACTAATTGGTGGAGTACAATAATAGGTATGCCTTTTAAGTTCTGTCGTTTCCATATTTCCTGGCAATTTTGAATTTGGAACTGTTCTATATTCGAATGTGTTTAAATTTTGAATCTCAAAACAGTTGAAAGTATTAGGATTAATGCTGTTGTTTAGTCACAGCGTCAATTGGACTCTAATCATAACAATAGTTTATGCTTAACCATTCCGAGTTAACAAGTGACAGAAACTTTCCAACCATGTATAAAGCAATGAACCCTACAGCAACAAATATGAAATTTAATAATAAAACAATATACTTGCATCTTGATTCAGAGAAAGCAGTTTAGATTCTCTGACATCGTCAGTGATTGTTGCAGAAAATAACAAGTTCTGTCTTTTGGCTGGTAGGGTATTAAAAATTGTCTCTAAATCTTCTTTAAAGGACTCACTGAATAATCTGAAATTTTAAGATATTATTTTACAAAATCTGTTGATCATAGAATAACTATTTGCATTGTTCACTGTTGTATTTCTGGTGGTACATAGGACATGAGAACTGTTTCATACTACAATTGGGATGTTCTACTGCTATATTTATAGATGCTGCTGATAGAGCCTCACTTAATCTTCGAAATAGACTCTACATGCCTACTGTAACTGAAAACATTAATGAGAAGATTACACTCCATGAAGGGCTACAGGATGAGTAATTGTTTCAAATTGTTCTTTAAACATCTTCATTATTAACTACACCGTGAAACATTGTAACTAAATATAAGACACCCTCAAATATAAAGTCTACCATTAGATCAGGTTAGTTGTTTTTTTTTAATTTATAACACATACATTACGGTGTATAATACACATAAATTACATTACCTGTCAGCCTCATCCAAGACTAAATATTTGATCCTCTTTAAACTAAAAGTATCACATCCAGTGATATGGTCCGCTAAACGGCCTGGCATTGCCACAACAATGTGTGGTCTTTTGGATAACTTCAAGGACTCTTCCAACTGGTCTGAGCCTCCTGTTACTATGCAGACACGGAGTTTTAATGGCTGACCTAGTATATTGAATTGATCTGCTATCTAGAAACAAAACCGTTTTTTTTTAGTAATATAGACATTACGTATTTCCCGATGATGATCTGAGCAGAGACGCCAGCTATTACTTGATTCAAAGCTTGCTCGTTCACTATGTGGGTTTCATTCCCACTCTGGACAAATAATTGCATAATGAGTGATAATTTGTATGTATTTATTAATATTTAAGTATGTTTATGACATTGGTTACCATAGTACAGGTTCTGCCTAGTTTAGGATCAGACTGCCATATGTGAGATGTGTAAAATTAATATTATTTATAAACGGCTTTACTCTAGTCATTGAAATTAGGACCTAAATTTATCCTACATAAACATGAATACTAATCATAAAAGTATATTTCCAAAATACAATTATTCAATACAATAATATTGTTTTTCTTCGTGACAATGGGTTTGTTCAACCCCAATTTTTTTTCCACTCAACATCCTGCAACAGCTGCGGCATTGTTTGTTGCTCTCCACAGCTCATCTATAGTGCAACTGGAGAGGCACAGTAGACAAAAAACCAAATGTTGAATAGTTTGCAATGGAGCCCCACAATCACACAGTGTTTGCGACTGGTTGATGTAGTACTAGTGTAATACAATTATTTAGTAAGTAATTTTACCTGATAAGCCAACTCATGCGTGGGAGTGAGTACCAAAGCAAAAATTCCATACGGATCATCTGCTAAATGTTGTAAGATAGGTAGTGCAAATGCAAATGTTTTGCCTGAACCCGTTTTAGCAGCTCCTATGCAGTCCCCACCACTTAATATATGTTGAACACAACCTTTTTGAATGGGCGTTGGCTTCCTTATACCTGAAAATAATTCATACCATTTAGAAATAAGCAATGAGAGTCAGATATTTTTTTATCACCTTTATTCTGTCAATTTTCCAAATTGTATTTGGGGTCAATACAACATTTAACATTGCAAAGGTATAGCTAAAGTGTCAGCAGCTTTTGCAGGACACAGACAGGTACTCATGTGTTGTTCCTGTGATTGGACTGACCACTTGGAAAAGGATATCAACTGTTAAATTTAGTACTCTTTATAAATATATCGAGTTACATATTAAGATTCGATGGAAATTAAAGAATGACACAAAATAATACCAGTACTAACCTAGGGTAAACAATTGTTTTATTAGCCACGTTTTAACCCCAAGTTCGGCGAATTCTTTGCCATCGTGTTCATTCATTCTAGTGAAGATAAATAAACACTAATTATTGTCAATGCAATTAATAAAACACAGAAGCTATGTGATAAACTTGGCTTATCTGGTTAAATCCTAAATGTTCATTAGAAATAAAACACTGATTTTACGATCAACACAACGACAATAATCCATGTGATAATGACATTCGTGACACTGACAGTTAGCAGTTAGGGATGCCAATCTATTCGATTAATGTTAGAATCGAATATATAGGCAAAATAAATTGCTTTTTTACGAATGGTAGCAAGTATTAATCGATTTTTCACCCTAAAAAAATCAATCTTCTATAAAAATCTTACAAGTATTAATAGTTAGTTGAATGCATTCAACGCGGAGAATATGTTGAGTAGAGGAGCTCGAATTCAAACGAGAACTAGCCTCACATGCTTCTAGAAGAGTTGATCATATCGAGCATCTGCGTATCCACTAGGTGCTTGCCCAACCCTCTACACTGACTTACATAATTTTATTTTATTTATAAAAAAATATAAACAAGATAAATTACAAAATTAATTGATATTCAAAGTTATCGCACTAATCACTCAAAATATTCCGCTAACAATAGAGATTTGCAATTTGAAGTGCACTGGCAAAATGACGATAACTTTCAATAATTGCGTATTATTGTATAATCAACCGCACGCCGTTTTAGATACCAGTAGCCGGGGCATCAGGTGTAAAGGATCCAGACCATCCACCATCTACGGCTTGTAGATGACCCCCTCATGTGTGGGAACATTGGTGTTCCCTTTCTACTCCCTCCGCAGTGTGTCGCGCCGCCATCCTAGCTTACTTCTGCTATGGTGACAGATGGCCTCACCTGTTACCCTCAGGCCTGCGTTTACGGAGCACGGAGGATGTTCTGCTACCTACAGCGCATGAGTCATCTGCGGTACCTGGCCCGCTCCCATTTCTTGCGGAACGGGAGTGTTTTAAGCCTCTTCCGGTGCTGCTCCGCTGTCTCCTTCGCAAGCATAACTTGCTGGCAGAAGGAGACAGCGCAGTTACAAGCGCTCTCGCTCCGTACCATGGCCACAATCATGGTAACGATGCGAGAGAATCCCCACTCCGAAGGCCGTCATAAGGGCACGCCTCTTCTACACCCACGCCGGGCATTCTAAGGTGTTCACGGTCTGGCCACGGTTAGCACTTACGCGTTAGCTCTTTGTGGAGCAGACACAGGTGATTTACGAAGCATCCTTTCCCGATGATCACCTGCGTTAACGGGTATGAGTGGATTCCATGTTGCCCCTCGTGCCAATCCTCCATAATTTGACTTACCGCCGCAATAATGGGGTACCCAGGCCTTGGTTACCCAAGTTGTTCCTTGCACCCCTCCACGAGAACCTAGCGGAGTTGGGATTTCTGGTCCTCAGTTTTTTGAGTTTCAAGACTTCTGCCCAACTCTCGTGCCTCCTTGACCTTGCGCCACTGATACAGAACCACAGGGGCTCCCACCTTAGAGGCCCACAGTGTCAGGAGACTCGTTGCCTCAAAGGAGCTCGTGCGAACGCGGCACGAATATGGATCCAGAAAAGTGTGTAGGACAAAGGTATGATGGATGTTTCACTATATCAGGAAAGGGTGGTGGTGTTCAGAAAATTCTAAAAGAAAGATATCACAAAGCACTGTTTCTTCATTGAGCTAGTCACAAACTGAGTTTGTTTGCTCTTTCTTCTCATAAAGCTCAACCCCTTGATGCTATATGGTGCTTGGTATTTTGCTAAATATTTAACAACACAGATTGTTGCTATTATGTGTGTTGGTCTATGACTTTAGAGTCTACAAAAAGACGATTTAAATCAATTTAAAAAAAAAATGTAATAGACATTTTCAGTTTGAACTTAGTTGTGAATTGTGACCTTAACCAATCAGCAGTAATACGAAATTATAACGCTGTCGAAAGACGTTAACAATGCTACCAGAAAATCTCTCGGGGGCTCTTTTCGCCCGTTTGAAAATTATTAGCACTTGTAAGTCTATGAAGGATTGTGTAGCTTTTAATTAATTAAAATTTTATATTTGGAATAACTTCTTCTGCAGGTCTTACTGAATAGGTTATAGATAAGTGATAACCTAGGTGTGTATATTATACGTTTATGTATTTAGTAAACTGACCTCGAATAGGGTCCCCGCTACCGGTGGTGATGTGCGCCGCATGAAGTGGACAAATTCTATCAATGAGAATGTCATGCGGGCATTTTATTGGGCCACAGAGCTGGAAACAAACCTTACTGCTAGTCTCTTTGTTTCAGGAGCTTGAACCTGCTGTCAACTTATCAGCACAACGATTGTTGGATCAAGTACGAGCTATACAGCGCTGTTACCTGATGGATGATATAGTACTTGAGAGAATACGCTCTGACATTCATGAATAATCAAGATTATCCCTTCTTCGTCACACACTGTGTATTTGGTAGCTAACAGCACACCTCAATTGATATCACATACTAATAATGTTAATGAATTAGTGGAGTGAAGTTATATCTGTAAGTACCCAATACAATGATAGGATAAGGAGCGCTTTGGAGGATGCGATTCTAGAATACCGGTAAAAATAGACCCCGGTTATACCGTTTGCCCATTCATAAACGAAATTTAGTAAGTGTTCAGGGAATACGCGGCCGAGAGCGATGCGCTTTGTGAAACAGGCATTCTTGGGGACTACCATTAGTCCTCAACAGTACATGTCATGTGTCACAGAGCGCATAGACTTTCTAAAGCAGAAAATTTATGCATGGGCAAATAGGATAAGACGGTATAAAAAACGAATAGATCGGTATAATCAGAATCGGATGTTCCAAAAAAGAGAAGTGGGTGTACCAGAAATGGGAGGAACCGGATCCATGTGTGAGTGATGGGCATTTGCCAGATGAAAATGTCACAAATACATCTGGTCGGTGCCTGTCACTCATATAGAAGGTGATTGGTTGCGGGATGTCAGACGCTCATGTGAGTCTAAAACACATATAGAACCTGTTATATTTGATAAAGATGATGTAAGCTGTGCAGTTCGTTCATTACCGAATTGTAAGTCACCCGGTTTAGACGGACTGCACAACTTTTGGCTTAAGTGGTTCCGAAGCTCACATGTTTGGCATCTCAATTCCAGGCAGCATTGGATTCGGGTTTATTACCCCAATTTTTAACCACTGGTATAACCCACTTACTCTATAAGTCTGGTAGTGTCATGGATCCCAAAAATTTTAGACCTATCACATGTTTACCAACCATGTATAAACTTCTAACATCTATTCTGACTCAAAATTACTTTACACATTAGTAATAATTCGATTATGTCAGTTTCTCAGAATGGATGTAGAAGTGGGACCCGTGGCACTAAAGACCTCCTTATTATAGACAGGACCATTAGCCAACAGGTGCGTCGCAATCGTAAGAGTTTGGCGGCATGTTGGATACTAGTAGACTATAAGAAGGCTTATGACTCGGTTCCACTTACATGGCTTTTGAGGGTGCTGGAGTTGTATAAAATTGATACAAGAGTTGTGTCAATTTTATACAACTCCAGTGCAGTTAAAGTCATGTATGGGGCACTGGAGAACAGCTCTTCGTTATCCAGGATGTCGGCAGACGGCGCTAAACAATGCACCAATAAAAATCGAGCGGGGTATATTTCAAGGTGATAGTTTGAGTCCCTTGTGGTTTTGTCTGGCTTTGAACCCTCTTAGCACTTTATTAGAGGGTTCAGGGTTAGGCTATAGGTTGCAGGAAGATGATCAAGTTATATCTCACCTTCTTTATATAGATGATTTGAAACTACTAGCCCCCACCAAGTTACAATTGTCCGCGTTACTAAAAATGACAAAAAACTTTAGTAATTCTATCAAAATGGAATTTGGCATAGACAAGTGTGCAGTCATGTATGTAAAGAAGGGTGTGATAATAGAATCTGAAGGAATAGAGCTTTCAGATTCAACAAAACTCAGATCTCTGTCTGCCACTGAAACTTACAAGTATTTGGGTATATCACAGTCGTTAGGCATACCAGAGATGACATGAAACAAACCTTTTTTGGCCGCTGAAAAAAGTATTTAAAAGTCTTTTATCAGGGGGCCACAAGGTGCGAGCCTGCAATGTTTGGGTCATGCCGGTTCTGATATATTCCTTTGGTATACTTAGATGGACTCAGACTGAATTAGATGCTCTTGACCGGAAAGCACCTTCACCACCCACGTTTATCGGTTATGAGATTGTATATCCCGCGAAAGCTTGGGAGTCGCGGACTATTAAATATCAAGACCATACATAATCGCGAGATATGCAACCTCAGAGGATATTTTGCTACATACTGATGTGGGAGTGCATCGCAATGTAGTTGCAGTGGATACCGGATACACCACACTCGCTCTGGCTAAAGAGAATTGGCGCAAACCTGTAGTACTTAGTACTAATGATCGTAGGGAAGTATGGAAGGGCAAAGAGCTCCTTGGCTGGTTTTATCGGGCCCAAAAGGGTCCAATTTAGACTTTAAAGCATCTACGACTTGATACGGTATGGTGATCTCTTCGGAGAAACTGAAGGTTTTGTTTGTGCGATTATGGACGAAGTTATAATGACGAATAACTATCAGAAATATATACTGCAAGATGGTACGGTTGACATCTGTCGGGCACAACCATGTAGCCAGGATCGTACACCAACAGCTTGCCATTAACTACCAACTTGTAAATCTAGAGGTGCCATACTACTGGTATGTACCGGACCCAGTTCTGGAGAATGGCCAGGCCACGTTGTATTGGGATCGATCTATTATCACAGATAGGACTATTGTTAATGACGAGAATCTCGTGAAAGTTGAAAAAGAAAAACAAATAAAATATTTGGATTTATCTCTCGAGATTGTCTTAATGTGGAATGTCGATTCAGTGATCATTGTTCCGATAGTCGTATCTGCTCACGAATTGATAGCCAAGAGCCTTGACCAACACCTTAAGAGGCTCACGTTGGACGGCTGGATCAAGGGTCTGATGCAGAAGGCAGTCCTCCTTGACACGGCTCGTATAGTGAGGAGGTTCCTATCTTTGGGAGTCCTAACCACCGGTGAGATGTCCTGGTCCCTGTACCCGATGTCGGTGGACTACTATTGTTATTGTTTCTTTTGTAATATATTTAAAAATGTAATTAATATGTATATATAATTTAATAAAGAGAATAATAATATTGTACCACATTCACACAATGCCATCTAGTCCCAAACTAAGCAGAGCAACAGACAAATATATAACTAGATATAGATAGACAACTGATATAAATACATATGTACTTTTTTTGTAAATACAGACTTATTATACATTGAAAACCCAGACCAAATCAAACATTAAATGTTCATGCACACAAATGTTTGACTTGAGCGGGAATCGAACTCGCGACCTTTAGAATAGCAGTCCGTTACACAAACCACTACGCCATTCGGTTGTCCAGCATGATTTTTACACCACCCAAAAGTTGACTGGAAAAGAATGCCCTATAGTCCGCCGGTCGGGGCACCAGGGACTTCCTTTCTAGGGTATACCTGGTTCCCCGGCTATTAGTACCCGAGACGGCGTGCGGTTTTAGTCGGTTCGAGTCCGACGTGCCACCGACAGGTGGTATCCGAGGGGATTTCCGCACGGAAAAAAAAATAGGTATTAAGTCCGCCGATGTACAAAAGTGCATAAAGTTATATAAATAAAATATCTTGTGAAAATATGTGTTTGTGATTTGGTTTGTACTAATAGTGCATAACAGAAATGAAGTAGCTTATGTACTATCACTCAGGACTGGGGTTGTTCAATCCACCCATCATTAATCTACTATAGGCAACCGATTTGTAATGGATGTGGTAATTCTACTTTTTATAAGATTAAGTGTTTTATATTTCTGAAGAAATAAACAAATTTCATTATGTGAATTTTATTTACAATAATCCAGTGTCAACTGGTAAACACCATAAATAACAAACCATCAGATATGATAAGGCATTAGTTGAAAATCTGCAGAATAAGTCTGTCTGAAAGATCATTCGGAGGTTAGACCGCCAAATTGGATAAAAATGGTATATAGTAAAATCATTAAGTCACAATGATGAATAATTGAAAAAATGTGGCAACTTATTTCCTTTTTTAGAATTTTAAGCTTCTACACTTAAATGAAGAAGTGTTTTACGTAGGTTCGATAATTGTATTTATTACCTATTTCTTCTTTTTGTTTGAATGTGTATTTATCCTCTCAACATTTCATACTTAGATTTAGGTTTAAACTTCTTATTTCTCTTTTGGTTGGGGTTTTTGTTTATCTTCTGTTTCGGCTGCTTTACTCTTTCTTTCGCCGCCATCTTGAATCGCTGTGATCTCTTACTCTTCTTTTTCTCCATCTTAACAGTCTGTCTATGGATATCCGCCTGCGCTCTCAATTTATGGTTACTCCTCATTTTGTGTTGGGCTCCCTGCTTCGCTGTTAACCCTGTGTATTCGCCAAAATCATCTTCTCTAGGCTTTTTGACAAACTTTCCGCCTATATCATTATTACCTTCCATATTTTGATTTTGACTGAATTTATTTTTCCCGAATTTTCTTCTCTTTGCGGCTGCGTAACTTTCATCTGGTGCTATCTTAGATTTTCTCTTCCTATTTTTCTTATTGTTATCTGTGGTACCATTTTCATCATTTTCATTCTTCTTTGCTAATGGATTGTTAGCTATAGATTTTTCTAGTCTTTTCTTGCGTGCGTTTAATGCTGTTCTGTCTTCTATTGAAAAAGATACGATTGGCCTCTGGAAAAAAATCCGTGTTAGATTAATAAATATTTTTAGTTAAACATAAAAACTAATGTTGGTTTGGCAATCTAATAGAACAGCTATCATAGGGAATTTTCAATTTTCCATAAGTTAAACTCTTTCGACGAAATATACTGTATATTTGGAGAATTATAATAAAATCTCATTTTAATTCGAAGATAGCTTTATACTTACATTGTTTTTGTCAAATATATCTGGATTGTTGTTGAGTTTTCGTAGGCACGCCAAAGCGTCTTCATGTCGTGTGAACATAACGAAACCGTAGCCTTTCGACCTAAAAATACAATAGTAGGGTAAATAAAGCAAAGTTTTTTTAAAACAATCAATTAAAATGTAAAAATTTAAAATATATATTTTTCTCTCTATTATGAGCGGGATTTTTCTCATAAGACTCAACGCCTTGGAAACGGGCGGTTGTAGATCGGCACAGGCATATCATGGATTTTGTATAAGTTAAATTAGTTAAATAAGTTAAGTATTACATTTATTTTCCCAATTATTTGACAAAACAGAGACTGTTGCTATTGTGTGTGTGTTGATCTACGACTTTAGGGTCTACATAAAAGACGATTTCAAACAATTTAAAAAAAAGTAAGTAAAAATATTTTGAATTTGAAATTGAATGGATGTTACATGTGTTAGATACGACTGCAAATAGTCTCGCACGTTTTTTATTTAATTTATAAACTTTTAGCCTTTGAAATTGTGATAATTACGATACCATGAAAATAAGTAATATTTTTTTAAGTTTTGGTCGGAATGGAAAACATAGGTAACTATTCGGGTACATTGTGCATTGATTTGTAATTTATACAAGCAAGTAATAAATGAGCGCGCTCTGAGCAGGATGATACAAAACTGCATGCAAAAAGCAATACCTTGAAACATATTGAACATGTATATAAAAATATATTTACAGTACTTTTTAAATAGACTAAACTTTAAAAATCAGTCATTGTTTATAGTTTCCATTTAAGATATATTTTAAAAATTAAAACTAATATTTTTTTAAGTTGATGGAGGTTCTCTATATTTAATTAAACAGAATGTGTAAAAAACGAGCCTTTACAAGCCATGTAAAGAACAAAATTTGGTGAAACATCAAAAAATGCCTTATGCACTGTTAAAACTTCACTGAAAATATGAAATATACGCAATAGCATTACATAGAATATCTGTTCGTTGAAATCGAAAATAATGCAAATCCGTATCTGGTTTGTACATGCAACAACACTATATTAAAGTGAATAAAACTTACGGATGCTTGCCATCCCTCCCAGGGGGCGTCCTTAAGTCTCTCATCACCCTACACTCAGTGACGGTGGCTCGCTTATCTCCTGCGTTCACGCATATACGTCGGAGCTTGGAGTCGTCAAAGTGTGCGGGCAAGTTGGATACCACTAGACGATACCGGGATACGAATCTGTCAAAAAAATAACATTGTTTTTAAAAATATATACAATACATTTACAATTACTGTTCGTAGGTTATGCAATAACAATCAACTATGCATAAAGTCAACTACCTGTTGCAATTAAGTACGAGCGCCCTGGTCAACAAAATTAGTGTACATGTTGTGATTGTAATAACTCATGTGTGTTTTCCCTGTGTGTATCTTTTGCAGGCAATAAACTACATTATTATTATCACATAGGCATAGGTATAATAAGTGTAAAGTAGAAATAATCACATCACATCAACAGCCTTTAACAGTCCACTGCTGGACATAGGCCTCTCCTTAGAAAGGAGGTTTTGGCCTACTATACCACGCTGGGCATACGGGTTGGTATAGGGTTTGTGTCAAGTTTTCCTTCTCTCCGCAGTGCTGTTGTTCTGTTTAGTTTACTCCCTTAGTCGGATCTTACGACACGATGAATAGGGGTGGTGACACTGTATTCTCAATCCGTCACCACACGGTAGTAGAACCACCACACCACCACCACAAAGTAGAAATATTATTAGTAAATATACTTTAAATGGACCTAATTCTTTTTAAGTTCATAATGAGTTTTCATTGGAAGACTGCTTGAGTTGGTCACTGGTTGGATTAAATTCACTATTTCACATGATATAGGTTGTTGCAACTGGGGTATGTTTCATAAATTTATTTATTCCAGTTTCTTTATCTAGGGTTAAATCAACTAATGACCTTATGATTTGAAAAAGAAAAAAAAGATAATTCTGTTCATAATACGTCTGTTGGATCCGCTGTTATCTAATAGTTCGTGTTCACAGACAAGAGTTAATTACCTGTTCAAATTCTTCAACATCTGTGTTTTGCTGCGTTCGAGCGTGAGTCGCTTAGACATGTCAGAGGCGGACACGCCTACCGCTGCTTTCGTGCCCGCTACTACAACTGTAATATCAGTCACTAAATATTAATAACATAATAATCTAACATAATACATAATAATTCACACATCTCACTCACACACGGCTATCTGTGTCCCAAACTAGGCAGAGCCTGTATTATGGTAACCAAATTGCTGATAAATTTAGTTATATATTTCTAAATACATTCATATTATACATAAACTACACCCAGAGACAGAAGAAATGTTCATACTCATAGCACAAAATTTGTCCTGGGTGGGAATTGAACCCACGACCTCCACCTTAGCAGTCAGGGTCACTAACCACTAGACCAACAGGCCCGCAATATAATCTATACTAATATTATAAAGCTGAAGAGTTTGTTTGTTTGTTTGTTTGTTTGTTTGTTTGAACGCGATAATCTCAGGAACTACTGGTCCGATTTGAAAAATTCTTTCAGTGTTAGATAGCCCATTTATCGAGGAAGGCTATAGGCTATATATCGTCACGCTAAGACCAATAGGAGCGGAGCACCAATAAATAATGTTTCAAAAACGGAGAAAATTTATTACTATTGAGAGACGCAGACGAAGTTGCGCCGGTCAGCTAGTATAACATAAATGTTGATCAACCACGTAAATTTAAGATAGAAATTATTATATAGACGGATTTTAAATCTACTAACTGTGCCCACTGGCTTCACTCGTAGTCAGAACCCCAGTGGGCTTAGTCACTCCATATAATATAAGCTACCTGCTAACACGAGTCTTGTCAAAATCGGTGCATCTTTTCCAGAGATTAGGTAACAAAGAGAGAGAGAGAATTATAAATTAATATTGGTTAACATTTTAGATTGACTAAAAAATTATACTATAATATAAGTTATTAGGGAATAACATGCAGCCTTAAAGTAATTAAAAGTAAAAGATTAAGTAACTATTTCCGTAGTAATCATATGTACATCAAAAACCCACACACAGACTGCCCATATGAGGCTTCTATAATTTTTTATAACATACCTCCTTCTTTAACCAGATACAAGTTCCTGTTGTCCTTAGCTTCCTTCTTGTTTCCTTTCTGTAAGTTTTCTCTTTTTAGAGCTGGCTTTATTTGCAGCACTTGACCGTCTAACTTCAGTTGGTCGGCTGGTAGTGATAAAAATGTGTCGGCATGCTCTTGACTCTGCAATGTAATGATACTTTTATTAATTGATGAAAATGGGTACACATTTTAAGATAAGGTAAGGCAATCTATTTTTACTGGAACTTTAGACTTGTCCAGAATTACTGCTTTCAGGAAGAGGGGTCATGTTGTAAATGCTAATCGGCGTGACAATTTTTCATATTGCGATACAAGATTGGCAGATGCACCGAAGTTCGATGTGTCTTTGTTAGGTGGCGCTTTTTATTTCACTGTATGTATAAGGCGTAACACTTCAATGCATGTGTGTTGGCAATGCATAAAGAGATAGTTATGCTTTGTAGTCCATAATTAATCGCTTACAATTAAGCAGAATGTAGGTTTGTTTAACAATATCTCTAATACTTTATAAGAGTGGGTTGAGATTACAATTAGGTAGATTGGAATTATAATTAGGTAGTAACAAACCACTTACAGCAAACTTAACGAATCCAGAGCCTTTTGAATGCTCTGTCATTCTGTCAACACAGATGAGTGCGTATTTCACAGGTCCAGTTCTCTCTGCAAACTCCTTGAGCTGGTCATTATCTACGCTGAATGGTATGTTTGTAATAAAAACAGTACATCCATCTTCTGCGTCGTTTAGTTTTATACTAGAAAATAAAAACAGAAGAAATTATAATAAAATACAATCTACAATTTCAATGCAACCTGTTCTAGTCTGGAAACCTTGGGAAAGCGTAAGTCTGGTCGTATAAGGTAAACTTGGTGACGTACAGTAGCAGATGAGGCTAGGAACATCAGCAAGACGTGGAGCGAAATTGAGCACGAGGCTAAGAACCGATCGAAATGGAGACTTGCTGTGGAGGTTACATTAAACAACAAGTGAGAGAGAGAGAGTATTTTCTGACTGCTACTAACCGTTGTCTTTCTTCCTTGATATTAACTTTTTCGTCTACATCTGCTTCCTCATCTTCATTAAAGTCACTTTGATCGTCTTCTTCCGACTCTTGTTCCTGGTCACTCTCGTCATCATTATCACTATCTGAATCATCTTTGTCTGATTCTGCATCTGAATCACCTGGTTCGAGGATATTGAGATAAATTATAGGCAATAATCAACATTTGAAAACATCCATGATATACATAATTATTCATTATTAACAGAAAAAATGTCATAGTTCAGAAATCATGGTTCAAATAGCTTATTTTTATTAACTTGTTACTGTGAACCTGGAAAAAAATGTGTAGTGTGACTTAATTGGGTTTTAATATCTGGATTTCCAATTTCAACTCATTAAATGACTGGTGTGGTGTGTGGTGATGGATTAAGAATACGGAGTGTCACCATCCCAGCAAACCACGCAGCTCAATAGCAATGCAAAGAGAAGGAAAACTTGAAACAATCCCCATACCAACCCGTCCGGCCAGAGTGGTATAGTAGGCCAAAAGCTCCTTTCTAAGGAGAGGATTATGTCCAGCAGTGGACTATTAAAGGCTGTTGATGATGATGAAATGACTTTGTAAGCAGAATACGAGCTATCAAAGCATGGTAGTGGGCAGGAACCTAGGTCTTCTCAAGACTATATGGAAGTAAAGATAGTTACAATGCTATATAGGCAAGGCAGTCATTAAACAAAAGACTGCATTACTACACTGCTGCATTATTTAGAACAGGGATTCCCATAGTGGTCGATATCGACCCCTTGGGGTCGAAATCGGTTTCCCTGAGGTCGACATAAACAAAAACTGATTTCGGGGGTCCACAAGGTTCAAAAATCCATAGATTCGAAAGTTTCAAATAAGAACTTGTGTTAATTACCTATTAATTAACACTAGTTCTCATTTGAGCCTTTCAAGATACTGTATTAAGTTGTGCTAGGTGTACTAACTTGTTATAAGAATGACTAATATTTAAGTAGGAAGTATCATTGTTGTACTTTTCAAAACCCAACAAATTGTTGTGTGCAGTAATTCGGCTATGGGGTCTGAGGTATCAGTTCATTTTAGAAAAGGGGTCTCTTGCCCTAAATAGTTTGGGCATCCCTGATTTACACCATCTAGTTGTAATATGCTTGAGATAAAAGAGAGAAGATGAATGACCCTTATTTTGTGCATTTTTTTTAAAATCAATCAGCTAGCCTTAGGTCACGAAAACAATGTTTGCCTGATCATGTACTATAATGAACTAGTATTCAACTTACTCTCACTCTTAACCTCAGACTTTACTTCATCAGTAGACACATTTAATGGTTTTTGATCATTATCACTGTCTGACTCTTGTTTCACATTCTCTTCCAGTTCAATCTGCTGGTTCACTTGATGCTGCATATATTTATTCTTGGCGACCGCCCAGTCCACAGATATAGGTCGACCTGTGAAATAATAAAGGTTAAGAAATAAATTAACATCATAGCTCTATTTAAACTTCATAATTATGTGGTGTTGAGCTTGGTTGTGATATAAATCATCACATTATGTAAAGTCTCACCTAAAAATGGTTTCATATTTGTATTTAACAGTGCTTTCTTTGCCATTGGTACATTCTTAAAATGTACAAAAGCACATCCAACCAGCTTTCCATCAGGTTTTTTAAGCAATTTCACCTCCAATACATCACCATAAGGTTCAAAATGCTCCTTTAATGTCTCTTCAGTCGCTTTGAAAGACACATTACGAAGAATAAGACGAGCATTGCGGTTTATTCGTATTTTATTTTTTTCTTCTTTAGGCTTTTCTGTGACATCACTTTTCTCATCTAAAAATAAAATTTATTAATTATAATACAACATTTAATTTGCTTATTAGGAATGCTGAATAAAAAACCTAAGATTCGATACACTTGGATACCTTTTTATTTAGAGCTTTTAGTGCAGGGGTCAACAGAAATATTTAAAAAATGTGAAGCACACATGTCACTTATGACTTTTGATAAGTAAAATCTTCCCACTTGCCTGCTGATGGAATGATTTCGTCAATGACTGATCGGTTTGGTCAATGACCGCTTGTGATGATAGAGTTGGCTGTGAGATGTCAGATATTACACATCTTATGGGACTACCGTGAAGCTTACTTGTTTTTTTTTTACACCAGATCAGTCTAGAATTAAACAAAAATTGTGAAATTTGGAAACTTACTTTTAACATTGGATTTATGGTCATCTTCTGATGAAATGCTGTTAAACCTTCTTCTTGCATCTTCGTTTTGTATATTTTGTACATAGTTCTTTTTAGGTACTGCAAAAGCTACATAAATGGGGCGATCTGAAACACATTTACATCTGTTTAAACTACTACAGTCACAAACAAACTTATGCACAAAATATTTTGGTAAATAATTATTGACAAACTTGAAAATCCATTACCAATAATCATTTTAAAAGACCTAGTGTAAAGTTGCTTCAACTTCAACTTTTGGTTAATGGCTTTGTGGTAGAGTGTGTGTGTGTGTGTAAGTTAGTGGTGTGACGGTTCGACTTTGAACTCTCGAGCTCAAAGTCGAACCGAACTTTGACTCGAGCATGAACCGAGTTGACCCGGTTAGCCCGTGTTTTAAACCGGTTTAGGTCTCATAAGTCATAACTTCATAAGATCGCGCTGCGTTTCGTTTCGCGTTGTAACATAACTTGTACTGTCGCGCTCGCGACACCTGCTTTATCGACCAAGCAAAACTGATTTATCTACCAACTGTTGAATTAGTTGGTTTTGGTAGATAACACAGTTTTGTTCGGTCGATAAACCAGGAGCTGCGATGATTCTGAACCGAGTCGACACGACAGACCACAGACATGACATGACATAAGTTATGTCATGTCATGTCTGTGATCTGTGTGTGTCTGTGTGTGTAAATAAATATTCAATGTTCATTGGGTTATCATTATATTATATTATATTTTATATTTAACTTTGAATATACAATCTTTGTTGATCTCAAAGTTATTTTTCTTATATCCACCAAATGAGAAAATAAAGGAGTGGTGAGCGTGTTACCTTACTGTGTAGCCCTTCACTCTCAGCAAACTAAACGGTAGCGTAAACTCGGTTGCGAACCGTTGACAAACCGTAAAACGATGGTTTAATCGACCCGTCCGATCCGTCAACTCGTCATACGGTTCAAACTGCGGTTTACTGCAATTTCAACGGTTTGGTTTGGAACCGGTTTGCACGAATTGTCAAACCGATTCAACTCGGTTTGGCAATATTCCAAACCGTCACATCTCTAAGTGTAACCACAATTTCGCCAATGTCATGTATTTGAAAGACATTTATGTAAAAGTTGTGTAATTTTTTTTGTTTTTTTTTTTTTAAATAAGACCATATCTACAGACGTAACAATAGTCAAATCTAGTACACACTTTGTTAGGTGTGCAAAAAAGGCCTAGTGCATCCTGAAAACAAACACTGGTGGTGTGGAATACGAAAATATTTTTAAAATAAATTAACCAGTAACAAATGCTTGGGTATAGCAAATATTTGTGACACAAACACTTGTTACTAAAACTAAAAAAATCACATTTGTCAGGGCCAGTAATGGCAAAATATATGTTGCTAGTGATGTCCTTTTCAGTCAACACCTAATTTTTAGCCAAGACACTACACTGACTACACGAGAAAATATATTACAAACTGTAAACAATAAATAATATTACAGTTTGATAGTAATATTGTTTGATTGCCTGGATAGTTGGCAATCCACTAATGTGCGCTTTTCGAGACACTTTTTGCCCTGCACAACCAATCTGTAGAACATTTTATCATCTGAAGTATTTCCGGACCTTCAAGAAAAGAGAGTACTCCTTCCTAAAAGGTAACCCGTTTGAGACTCCTGAGTTGCAGACATTCATGGGCGGCGATGGTTACTTTTCATCACTATGTGACATTTAGATGATTTGGGAAAAACAACATAAACACTCACAATATAAATAATTGAGTACATTGTATCCCAGACACTAGGTTGATACTAACCATTTGTCATAAATGAAATAATATCTCTGAGCATGCAATAGTTATAGAAAATATGATGTTTCAATTATTTTTAGTCTACTTGCTGTATACATTTACAGCACATGTAAAAAGATCAAATCACTTAAAGGTTGTTAATTTGCTAAATAAATTATATGATGTATTGATGGATCGTATAATTATCTGACTTTCTCACCCAAAAATGGTCTTTTATTTGTAGCCTTAATAGCCTTCTCAGCAATTGCAACATCTTCAAAGTGCACGAAACCACATCCAACAAGCCTTCCATCTGGTTTTTTTAACAGATTCACTTCATTTACAGTCCCAAACTTAGAAAAATGCTCCTTTAGAGCTTCCTTTGTAGCTTTAAAAGATATATTTCTTACAATGATTCTGCCATTGCGTTCAGGAGGATCTTTATTTATGTTGTTGTTTTTAATATCATTAACACCGGAATAAAATTCATCATTCATTGTTCCCATTCTCTCAATAATTAATTGGGAATATTAAAAAACTGACCGGAATATATTCACGTGGTATACCAAAACATAACCCTATATTTGATTACAGTTGTGTTACACAGCAAGACGCCTTAAATCTACACTAATTAATTATTAATTCTTGAAGCTAAATAAATATCGATCTGACTTTAATTATAGTAAACTTTCAGTGAAGTAGATTGTCTGAAACAATTTTGATAATAATCGATATCGAGCCGCACTGCCACAGACCGCAACGACAGAGTAATTTTTATACTACAATATTTGACGTTGACGTTACCTTACATCATGTAGAAAACTTTTTAGAATAAATCGACAGAATTTTGAAATAATAAATCTTTCTGGTACTTCACTTAGTAAGAGAGAAAGAGTTTGTGTATTAGTATAAAAAAAAATATTTTTGTATTTTTGGAATTGTAATTTAATCATCAATTCAATATTTTTGTCGTAGTTGGACTATCTGTTTAATGCTAGATAATATTTACAAAATTTGGAATGATTTTCTACTTCTGATCTTCTACTACTGGTAATTTATTGCAAGACCTTTAATTTGTAATATATAATAAATTGATAAATCTACTTCGCAAGAAGTCTCAAGTCTTGTTTTGTCATTCATTTCAATTTAATCTAAATCAGTTAGTTCAGGTTTACATAGTTCATATATTGTTTTTTACTATGTTTTGTTCAGTCAGTCTGCAGAAGTTAATGTTCACTCTTTGCTCCGTTCACTCCGTTGCCGGTTGCTTGCAGCCGGTTGTCAGATTTGTCAGTGTTATGGTCAGTGTTGTCACACTTGTCACTTACGTCTCCGTGTCGTAGGTCTTATGTATGGACTTATTGTATTGTGTTAGCTTTTGTAGGATAGTGTTACAATTGGTTACAATAGTTTTTTGTGAAAATAGTGATTACTGTTCAGTTAAAGTTTTTATTCTTATTCTCTTTTAAGAAATATTTGGTAAGTTGTATTCAATATTTTGAATTATTTAAGCTCGATTTTTAATAACTTGCAATTGAGGTCTAAATTTTTTCCCGATTTTGTAGGTACAAAGTGTGAATGATAAAATGTGCTTTATTTTATATTTCTAGTTCCTATTATCTGTATTACTCATTATCGTACCGTACATACACTAAATGTCACTAATATTATACTTTTGTAGGATACATTCCTTAGGTTACTGCAACCATAGTTTTATGATAAAATTTTGATAAAACTATTAACTTTTCTTTAGAAGAAGTTATATAGGTAAAATCCTTATGAGCTAACCTTGAATTATCAGGATAAGCAAATTCATCATCATTACTTATTACTTTCTTATCATGGTGTACATTTTATGTAATGAGTACTCTATACTGTTTGTTGTTCGATGGATAGTATATACCAGTAGTGGTGAGGACTTTCGAAAAAAAATATAAAAAAATACCATCAACCTGCCCTGCCTTCACACAACTCCTATGTAGATGCTAATGTGATGTCAGTGTGGAGAAATTAATCATATTATTATGATTAGTTGCTATAGGATATCTTAATTTTATATTTAAAAATCAGTTGCTGTTTGATAGTCTTACTAAAACTTGGGGTTTTCTGAACCAAATTGGCTGATTTTGGTTTTTTAAATTAAATTAGTTATGTTAAAAAAAAAGAATATTATATAGTGTATGTTACTTGCTGATAATGTAGCTTTCTATAGGTGAAAGAATTTTTAGAATCGGTCCAGTAGTTTCGGAGCTCATCCGATACAAATAAACAAAAAATCTAATCTTTCCTCTTTATTGTACATATTTTTTTATGTAATTATAGCATTACGGCTTCAATGGTTGTCCATACTATTTTTCTATAAAAGTGTATCCAACATCATCATCATAATAGTCCACTGCTGGACATAGGCTTCTCACTAGAAAAGAGACCCTACCTAACGCCTGTGACATACCCAGATATTTGTAAGTTTCGTTAGCTGAGAGACATGTAAAGTGCGTGGAATCTGAGAGTTCCAACCTATCAGACTCCACAACCCTGCCTCTTTTTACATGCATGATTGCACACTTATCTACACCAAATTCCATCCTGATACATTTACTAAAGGTTTTAGTTATTTCTAGTAAATTTATCAGTATGGAATTACTGGAAGCAAACAGTTTTAAATCATCCATGTAAAGGAGGTGGGATATAGCCTTACCATCTCTCTGCAAACGATAGCCTAGCCCTGAACCCTCCAACATAGTGCTGAGAGGATTTAAAGCTAAGCAAAACCACAAGGGATCTAAACTGTCACCCTGAAATATACCCCGCTTAATCATTATATATTCGTCATCGCCTTGAGATTGCCGACATCCTGGATAGCAAAGAACCGTTCTCCATTGCCGCATACATGTCTGCATAAAAGTGCATAGAGTTGTATCAATCTTGTACAACTCCATCACCCTCAAGAGCCACGTATGCGGTACAGAGTCAAGCCTTTTTATAATCTATCCAACATGTCGACAGATCTTTTCGGTTACGGCGAACTTGTTGGTTAATAGTCATGTCAATAATAAGAAGCTCTTTATTGCCACGTGCCCCACCTCTACATCCATTCTGAGAGTGAGATATAATAGAGTTGTTCGTAATATGAGATGTTATCTTCACTCTAAGAATGGACGTTATTGGCCTATAATTTATTATTATTATAGTTTTACACCGCCTTTCCTGTCATTCTTTCTCCGATTTAATCACAAATATCTTTCTTGATAACTTGGAGACGCCAGTATATATATACGTATACAGACTTAAATAAAATTAATAGAGGATGTAAAATCTGTTTTCGTTAAATCAGAGCGCCTTGGCTATATAACCAGCGCACCGACACCGTAAAAAACATTGTGGATGTAATGTACAAAAAAGCCGGCCTGTAACTTAAAATACCCGTTATAGTTACCGGCATCGATCTTGAGCGCTAATCTTCACCTGCGCAGAAGTCGATTTTTGAGTCCCTTAGAATGTAGTAGGGACAATTAAATCATAAAATCGCCCAGCAATTGGCTCACCGATATTTTCGCTGATCGTGATTCGTTTTCTCATACTTAATGACGACGAGTACACTGCCGAATAATTTAATGGGCGTCTATCTTTTTTTATTAATAATTTAATTATTTCTATTTTCTCTCTTCATCAATTGATATTTTAATCTAAAAATTGACATTTTATATCGGTGTATTAGATAGCGTATTTGTATTATCCTGATATGTTTAACACAATTACACAATAAATGAGATGACGATGATGAAGAAAATACAACCGTAAGTATCAGCTTTATTTAAGAAAGTTATTTAATGGTAGATGTCCTCCTGACTCCTATTTCACCGTCATCATCATCAGCCTATCGCAGTCCACTGCTGGACATAGGCCTCTCCCATTGCACGCCACTTAGATCGATTTTGGGTTTCTCGCATCCAACGCCTGCCAGTCATTGCGCTAATCGTCACTTCACCTAGCCGTAATAATTTTAAAAGGAAAATATTTGTTAATTAAAAATAAATACCATAGAATTATAATAGATAATAGATAATATATAATATATAGTATAATATAATAGATAATTAAATAAAAGTCATTAGAAGGTGCAAGTCCGTGGTAATCCGACCATGTTTAGGTGGTTACAAAAAAGCGATCACCCAGTACATTGCGCTGTCTTTTAAAATGTTTAGTGTAATACACCTTACGATTTCGGTACAGTTGCGTGCAGTGTTAAATACATTCAATATTTATTCATTATTATTACCTATTATTTATTTTGTTTTTTTCCCTAATTGATCTTAAGCACTAGTTTCTTTACTTAAAATTTATTTAGTCTTTTTTACTACCGGAGCTACAATCAACAGAAAATCTGCACTGGTCCGCTAAAATTATAAATATGTAGATACATGTATGAACGATTCACCTAACTGCAATTAAACGAAAATTTAAACCAATAAGAAATCGTTTCATTTCTTTGATTTTTTTTTGTAAAGAAATAACACTAAAGTAATTGTATTTTATTTTGGGGTGTATAGAGCTTAGACTTGAATGCATCAAAATATTTAAAGCAACAAGTCATCTACAATAAGTTAAAATAGACCGAATAGTAGAAGAATACAGTTGTAAATTAGAATGCATCAACATTGCATCGCCCAACAGTCGTATACCTCGTAAGAGTAGGTAATATTGTTCTGTGGTCTATACCTAGAACCGAGAATTATCTATACCTATGTACCTACCGTTAAGCGTTGAGCCCGTTACTGTTGATTTCTGTTAAAAACGAACAGTTGTTGAATGATATTTTGATATAATAACGGTAATTTAATTTATCGAGTGAAAGTGATACATTTTTATAGATAAAATTATTGGTCAGATAATATTTGTCAATCAAGAATCGCTGATAATACATCCTTCGCTAGAACGCGGGAGGGGAGGGGCGAAGGGATACTTCATTGTTTGCAATTTGCATCTAGTGCACTAAACTTGACCCTTAGGCAGATAATATACGTGTTGTAAAGTACGTGTGCGCTTCCGCTTTCTTTTTTTTTGCAAATATTTATCGTATTCTTGAGAGTTCTTCAATATGTGTGTACCTAATTACTAATAATAGGCATTAATGCTAATTCGATTCAATTTAAGTAATTGTCAATTCTTGTCTTAGGATATTAATTTAATAAAAACAACAAAACAAACAACAAAACAGGAACAAATTAAAAACGATCATAACTTTTAGGTAGGTATATCACTTATTACTAATTTTACGTAAATAATTTATTTTATTATAATTTAACTCACCGCGATTTTGTGATCAAATATTTTATTTTCTCCAACATTATTACAGAAATAATGCAATACAGAGTTTGTTCGCGATATGCTAGCCTAAGTCGATTCATCACTTAAAAAAATCCCCATCTATTCACAAAATACCTACTTACAACGCATACGTTACACTCTTCAAAACTTATCATTTCATTTCATATTTCTTAAATTACCTGTACCTACCCTAAAATTAAACTTCAATTAACAAATACTACGCAGGTACCAATTCTATGAACAACTATAAACAATTCACCTACACATTACGAGAAAACAAAAGCATTCAAAACAATACCTAATCTCCCGGCTGATTACTAATTATGCAATAAACAATCCTAAATAAAAAATATTTAAAAAACATGTACATAGTTTTTTGTAACACTTATGTACATATCCGTAGTAAACTTGCAAATAATATCCTACATATTTTAAAAGCCAGCACAATGTACTGGGTGATCGCTTTTTTGTAACCACCTAAACTTGGTCGGGTTACCACGGTCTTGCACCTTCTAATGACTTTTATTTAATTATCTCGTAAATTATTATATGTACTACGCTGAAATTTTACAGGTAGACAACTGAACTAAACAACTAATTATTGGCATAACATTCAGTTTATATATCCACACACAGGTTTATCGGTGGCCAAAAAAGGCCGCACACATTGTGATCGTGAACGTGGAGAGCTACATTTCATCATAACTTTTTAGTCACTTACAGTATTCTTACGAAAATTCGTATACATTTGAAGGTAGTTACAAGCAATAGAATAACGTTTCAAGTAAGTCTTTAGAGGTCTTATTTAAAGTGTTAGGACGTATTGAAGTGTTTTCATACTTACCTAAATAATTTTTAAACGGTCCATTATTTTTGTTATTTTACTGTCGAACAAATTAAAACTAATCCTTAAGAAGTTATGTACAAAAGATGGTTACAATCCGCTTACCCGTTTCAGAGATCCAGCAAACCCACAAACGTTACTCCAGCAGGATTTCGAATAACTTCGCAACCGAAGAAAATACAAATACCAAATAAGTTGTAACATTTACCTAGTCCAGATAACTAATTATTTAGCTAAAATTTATTTCAATATTACAATTTAAAAAGAAAATGTCTGGCTGCGGTAACGTTTCAAACGTTACTCCAGCAGGAAATGTTTTTTTGAAATAACTAAAAAAGTTTAAGTGAAACAAATTTAAAAATGTGCCTAACAATTACAGAAGGGGAGCAACTAATTATCTATAAAGTTTAAATGACCATTTTCGACATTATTTTGCTGGGGTAACGCACACCATAAAACGATCCCCACTCTGCCGTCGAGCACTTGTACTTTACGTCTTCATCCAAGGCTTAAAACGCACTTGCGGTTAGCCGCACTGCGGTGTGCCGTTGTCGTTCAATGCACATCGATTTTTGTATGAAAACGCATGTCATCGCACTGACGTGCGGCCAGCCACCTACTTACCGTCCGAATTTTGATGCGGAGAAGTTCATTTTAGATGTCAAAGAACGCCCCGCTATATATAATATATATAAATATCAAATATTTCTAGACGCACTGACGATTGCGGCGGACCGCAGTAGAACTAAGACAACGCGGATAATCGGAATGCGGCGTATTCAAATCCATGAGTAATTAAAATTTAGAATAATAATCCGTACTTACATCGTCTAGAGACGGACTGAGAAGGGAAGTGGCGGTAGCGGCTGACCGCATCGAGTGCATTTGTTGCATTACAAAACAGGTCATCGTCTTATTACTAAGCTAAATTAATAAATATGCAACTAACCGAAATACAAACGTTACGAAGGTCCAATAAATATAATCAAAGACATACATATTTATGTCGAAAACCCATCACGTGCTTTCTTGCGTTGAGTGCATAATTTATTTATTCGGGTTTATTCATTAAATAGTTGTACAGAGTCGTTTAAGTGTTCGTAGTGTGTTGTAAACCTCTTTTCTAAAGAAAGGCCTATATCCAGCAGTGGTCTATTAAAGGCTGTTGATGTGATGTGATTTGTGATAGTGTATACGTAGCATATTAAAAATAATTAACTTCAGTATACATAGGTATAACCTAACTAAAATCCTAAAAGTTTTAAGTCGTGGATATGCAACGCAATTGAAAAAATATTGCCCATAAATTGGTCTAAAATACTTGATAAAATATATTATCTATCGATATTTAACGATAATGGAATTCAGTCAAAAATTCAAATTTGATTAGAAAATGGAACTGTACAATTTCTGCCAATGCTAATAGAAATGAAATAATTATTTTAATTATGTAGGTTTATTAATTATATGTTTAACTAACTCCTGTAAAATATTACAATATAACTTGTAAATTCTAGCTATGTGATAAATTCAGTTGCTCGACAAGTTGATGCAATGGATCAAAGATCAACAAGTCGGCGTGGGTTACTATTTATTTATTTACACTGTCAATTGCTATTTAACTTTAAAACCAGGATAAAAGCTATTACCTAAATGTTATAATGCAACGTTAATGTTCTAAGAACTTTGTTACCTTATAGAATTAAATCATTACTTACCAATTTAAGTAAATTCTACCGTACTCTTAGTACGGATCTTTACAGTTGCACAATAAAGGTTGTTTATTCATTTTATGCAGTATTTAAGTTTGTCAGCATAACTGTCATGGACGCTGTGAATTGATGGTGAAGTCGAACACACTTAAACGGTTAAAATTCTATTCTACATGTTTATACATGTAGAATAGAATTCTGTTCTGTTCTTTTCAGCTTAATATCTAAAAGTTCCCTCACTGAGGGACCAGTAGGTATATTAAACTGATTTTTGTAAGCTGACGGGATGTTCGGGGCTAGCTCCACTCCCGTCACGGGTCGGCCCGGCATTGCAGTGCCGCCGGGATCACCTTTATACGTGTGCTGTAAAAATGTTATATTGACAAATAGTCAGTTTTTTAGGACTGGACTGGAGCATACTGCCGATGCCGTCAAAACTATAAATGCAGTAATCGTCATTTTTCCAAATTGCTCCCAATTCAAAAATCACATCTAACGAATGGTTAAATAAAAATTAATAAAAATAAGTTGGAAATCAGTAGAACTTTTAAGCAAAAATGCAGAATTCGTATGGCTGTTCTTTGAGTTTGTTAATTGAAATGCAGAAATAATAAAATACAAGGACAAAATGCAGTAGGTACTAATGACGATACTACAAATTTAAATCTTATCGTAGGAAATAAGTGCAGCTTACGCATAATGTGTATTTGAAATGTTATACCTAAATATTATATTTCTACGAGTCTTTTCTTTCCTAAATTCAAATGCAGTAAGTGCATAAACTGCATTTGAGCGTAGTGTCCGTAGAGTGCTTCACGGCGATGTGCAAAATACAATAGTACAATTCTTATATAGACAGCTAGATATTGTTTTCAAATGTTGACTTATGACCCTGTCTGTTTAAATTATAATTTAGATTTGTATTGTGAAAGTTTTACATGAATAAAGTACTTACATATTGCTTTGAATACATGTTCACTTTACTTTTTTATTTTTACCTACATTTATTTATATACACTTTATGCACAAATGTGACAAAGGCGGACTTAATGCCGTAGGCATTTTCTCCCAGTCAACCTTAGGGCGATGCAGAGCTAAATAATGGTATATGCACAGATATTAAATAAGTGAGTATATGAAAAACATACACAATACATAAGTATTTATACATACACATACATTTATACATACATATAATTATACATATTTGACATATTATAAATATATATATATACACACACACATTAAATTTTAGAAGAGAGAGGTATTAAGGTAGATCTGATAAGGAGTTTCAGAGATGTTTCCGCAACAGTTATTTAAAAGTTTACCTAGTTTTTGCCATCCTGATCTCGAGAGGGAGCGCGTTCCATAACAGAACAGATTGTACCAGGAAAGTAGAATTTACGAAGTTAGAGTGGTGAGTGGGACACTGAAGAAGTAGGTTGCTTGAAGATCTAAGGTTTCAAGATCACGATTTTAGTTTACTCGTTAATAATGATTCGGCTGCAAACAAGTATACAAGTTTTACACACATGTGAATTTAACAACCTATCGTGCGTATCGATAGGTTGCGCACAAAAAACGTAACAAGTTCATACAATCACTAAATTTTACTTTTCGTATATTTTTTTATACCGGGCGCCTTATATGAACATCTATTCTTAAGGAGTAAACTCCAAGAAACTTAATATGATTTTATAATTAATTTGTATTTTTTTAAGGTAACAAAATGAGTGTAATGAAGAATGTTGTGTCGCTGGCAGCTAAGAGTGGTAAATTAGGCACAAGGAACAATGGAAAATTCGTAAGTTATAACGTTTTTATTTTAGATTCAATTTTCGACTTTGACTCAGAGGCTCAAGTGCGAATTTATTTCACATCTACTCGATAGTCGCTCGAACGCGATAGCTGTCGAGAGCGAGTTGATGTAAAATAAACTTGCACTAGGCCCTTACAGGCCCAAGTGCGAGTTTATTTCACATAATTCAAATAGTCTTTAAAAATAAATTAACATCTATAAAAACAATTAAATAAATAAATAACACAAGCTCTAGTTTCAGGAACATATAATTGTTAACAATGGACGGGCAAAATAGGTCGAAAAAATACCTAGCACCTAATTTTGTATATCTTGTGATAAAAAAGATAAAATATCCGTGTGGTGACGGATTAAGAATACAAATTGTCACCACCCCAATTCATCCCGTGGGTGTCGTAAGAGCCGAGCAAACTAAGCAGGACAACAGCACCGCAAAGAGAAGGAAAACTTGAAACAAACCCTATACAAACCCGTCTGGCCAGCGTGGTATAGTAGGCCAAAACCTCCTTTCTAAGGAGAGGCCTATGTCCAACAGTGGACTAGTATAGGCTGTTAATGATGATGATGATGACCTAATTTTATCTATTAATGACGCTGATCACGAATATAAAAAAGAAATTAGATATTGAGGATAATCATTAGGTTGAAAATTACTGGCGTCTGTCTGTTCGATTATTACTACATTTTAACGATTATTCGTATACAAGTGAATTTGAAGAGTCACAACACCACGGTAAAGGACCTACCGACGTGACTTTGAAACGAAGTCTAAAAAAAAATATTTATTGTATAAATTGTTTTTTTTTTTGTATATCTTGTGATAAAATAGAAATAGCTTCATAATTCCATGGTTTTACGGAAAAATATATTTCTAATTATGTGAGTTACGCCAATACAAAGTTGTTTCGGCTTGAAAAGTATGAATCTTGTACCTCTTAGATTAGATGGACTATAAACATAAGTAAAGAAACCTAGAACATTTCAAAAGCTAAAGTTCGATGACATACTAAAACCCAAATCCTTAATGGCGATGTCTCAACATTTTTCATTTCAAAACAAATAATAGATAGAATATTGTTAATTGTTCGAATGGTGGCAATGGAGTTAACATAACACACATATTTTTGTATGGATGGCGCATATAAAACCTTCAGTTTAAATACAAAATTGCTTGCCATGACCGTTCATTCAGAACAATTATTGATCAATAGAAAGACCATATACACTCGTATGTCTAGTTGTGTATCGCGAATATTATGCCATGATATAATCTATACAATATATATAAAAATGGTTTATGCTTCAAAAACTCAAAAAGGATGGAGGTCAAATTTTGACACGAGACACAACACGCGTTAAGGATGGTTTTTGTCTAATTTTCGCGTTAGTTTTGTTCTTCATTTTTCACCTGCTATTAATTACAACTTCAATATTATTTTTACAATGCTGTATTTGATAGCCTATTAAACCTTCTTTTTTTGTACTCTTCTTCTTTAAAACGATGGATTTTATGAAAAGATGTATAAAGTATCGATTTTCGACATTATGCTCTATCATAGAATCATTTTTGTTCTTGGTTTGATAGTTAAAAATCGTAGCTTAGCTAAGAAGGTTTAATTATGCGATTGTAAATGGCACTGCGCCCGAATCCTGACCGACTTTTGTATCTCTACGTAGTTTTATTTCCCTCTAGCTGGTAAAGGTCAGCTGATCGCAAACACAACACGAGATTCACAAACCCTCTTAAGAATCACGACTGCAGTCCCAAAATACGCTTTTTGGTATATATATGTATGTATTTATAGTAAAATTGCATATACCTAATTACTGAATAACGCACGCACTTAGAGCTCTCCGATGATATTTTCTAGACTTTCTAAATATTAAAACTGTTGAGCACGCCGCTAATGAGTGACTGAGAAAGTGTACTCTGACCTCTGACCCCGGCCCCTGGTCATCACTTTGATACAAACATGTTCATTGCGATGTCATTCGACGCTAACTTCAATCCGAACTTTGAATAACATTGTAATTATTACACTGTTAATACACTTTACAATATACACGTAGTTCTTGCCCTAGACAACAAATGCGATAAAGTGCATCTCGTATTAGTACGTTTTTAGTATCAGCATGCGCTTGGCTCTGACGCATGACGTTATCGTTGCACGAGCGTGCAACGTGAATGCAATTGCATTTCCCTTAAAAAGTAGTAATCGATCCATTTTGAACGTAATATAATTAAATTATGCATAATATAACTGTTATCAGCCAGTATTATTACGTACATGCCAAGGATTAATCGTGTAGGGCATGCTAATTGTTTTTAATTTGGATTGTATTGTTCTATTTGCATGTCTTAAATTTAATCACTAAATAAAATTTTAAGTTATTGTAAGCCTAAATCATTCCACTACTGTAAACATCCTATGTTTACCTATATTCACAATAAAAATTGATTGATTGCTTGATTTCTTAGTTTTCAGCTGTGTTGTCCACTGTTCTATTCAAGTTCCAAAAATACACCAAATTCATTAATTGATCCTATGTCATACATAAAATATTAATACGTTGTATGTGGCTTATAGGAATGGAATAAAATCACAATAACCTGCTATAGAATATATGATTTGTAAACCATTTAATAACTACTATGATTAATATACAAAACTACTGCGACTCAAGATTATGATTACGCCAGCGCCGACGCACGAAAGATCTAAATCTAAAAAAAAACCCATCGTCTTTGATAAGTAGTTTGGTTTTTTGTTGCTTAAGTTTGAATGGCATTTATCTTTTTTTATGACCAAATACTATTAGTTATTTATTACTGGTAAAATCACAGTGACTAAAACCAGCCGTTTCATCATATGATTATAATTTAAAAGTAACAACAATTTCCAACACTAGTAGCTTATAATAGCCGCTCGACTCGCGCCACGATCCGCATGGCTGACTGTAGAAAATACAAATACAGTAAAGTAGGCATAGGTAGGTATTGGAATAGCACGTGCTGTTCGCGTGGTGGTCTGTGTAATTGTTTGAATTTTTTTTGGTATGAAAAGTCAGTATACCTTCCTGACTTTTCACACAGAAATCGTAATAATAACCTACTCGGTTATCATTGTCATTTAGCCACTAGCCCCACAGAAAGTATGACTGTACTGAACATAATTGCGAAATAAACGTACGAATGTTTGAATTAAAATACAGTTTAACTAGAGCGTGTGACAAAAGAATCAATTAATGGTTTAGTTAGATTCATCAATTTAGCATTAGAAATATATCTCACTAGCTTTGCCCGCAGCACCGCCCGCGTATATGTCGTTTATCGCAGTCCTTCCTCAAGAATCAAACTATCTCCATACCAAATTTTATCTAAATCGGTTCAGCGGTTATTGATTTCCCATACAAACTTCCACCCCCTTTTCACCCCCCCAGAAGATGATATCTGGGTTAAAAAAAATCTAAATCATTTTATTTTTATAAATTTCTTTTATAAAATATTTATTTTCATGCACAATAAATGCATATTAGTGTATTTATTTGTCTTCCAAAAAGTGCAAAATCGCAGCAACGTCGCCTCAAACCAATAGGGGCAAGGAAGCAATATTTGGCATACTTAATGTTTTATATGTAGAAGAAATGCACCAAGCTGATTATTTTATATAAAAACAACTACATAACACTATAGAAATACAAAATGGTGACCTCTTATAATACATATACTGGTCATTGAATTGAGACAAGAAATTCAAAACGGTCAAAATTTGACTGGCAGATGAACTCTAGTCTCTATTGATCGCTGAGGAAATTGATTAAGAGAAAAATAGGCCGAAACTTGCCGCCAATGATTACTAAGATGTTGAATTAACTTACATGATCAAATTATTCTCTATATGGCTTCCCGACAAGATTTAATTAACATGTTTACAATACAGTGTCGAGTTTGACGACACGACAGTTGGCCTATTTACGGCAGATTCATATGTATAACTAAGTCAACAGTTATGTTGGAATACAAAAGGAGACTTCGTTCTCATACGTTCGCTCATACGAACACCATTAGTTTAGTTTCAGTTTAAACCTAAGTTATACAAAAAACCTACCTCATTTTATAGGACCTGAATGTTGCTTATTGTATAAGATCACATACATATGTAACAATGGGGCCTTTCTAATACGATTTAAAAGATGACTCTTTTTTCGAGGTAATTATTCAGGTCAAAAAGAAGTTAATCGTGCAGCTGTAGATAAGATAAATGATTTATTATTTAATACTAACAGACATCACGCTATGTGCACGTGCTCTAAAACACTTTATAGTCCCGTGCTCTTGGCTGAGTCGTTGCCTCGCGGCCTCGATGACATTGAACTTGAATTCATTTCGCACAGTTGTAAGTGGCGCGGAATTACGTGGCTAATACCTGCCAATTATGTTTCTATCTATTACTAATATTAGATTATCTTAGCCTGATATTTTAATCCTTGTGAAACTTAGCTTAAATTTTTCCGATAAGGATATGTTTTAATAAACATAATTTAAATCTTGATGTATTGCAATTGATAAATATGATGTTTTTGTACTTTATAAAGGGCACCACGTAAAGCTATTTTTTTAATGCTCTTAGAAATTGAAATACCTTAGTAGAATGAACCGGTATGGGTTATGGTTACCGTACAGGGAAAATAAAAGATAGAGTTAGGCCAACCTGGTTTATATTAACTTAACCAAATTAATAATGGTATGGTTAGATGGTGTGAGTACTACCTGATGGAATGGTGACCGAAAATGCACTGTTTTTATGTAACGGTGAAATAACGTTAATCGAGGCAAATCGCTGACCGCGCGCAATGTGATGTAGCGCGGCTTGTGTCGATCCGTGGATCGTAGTACATAACCGTTAACATCTATAACCGTCTTTTCTACCTTTGTATAGGACGTGGTTTTCCAAACTTTCCATAAAAAATTGAGTTTTTATCTAAGTTGTATTTGTAGTATTTACATTTGAACATATACCATAATACTCCTGACCGACAAGTTCAGGTGCAACACACGTCAATGGGCACACAAGTTATATGCATGGAAGCATTCCAGCGCACTGCTAGATCTTCTTGATAATGCATCTTGTTTGTAAATAATGAGACACTCCACTTAAGTGATATTTTCCAGTAAAAAGATGTTTGAAATGTGATGATTTCACGTTCATATTGCGAAGATGTGTAATGATATTAGTAGGTACATACATCGACGATCAGCGCTTTACAATATTAGTCCAAGTACATACGAATAGTACTTAATTGAGAAGTTGCGGATGCAGAATTTTCAGTCTACGGATCCAGATATAGATTTTTTCCGCAGCGGCAGTTACAAACGTTATTTTTTCGCATTTTTTAAACCTAAACTTTACAATCGTACATTCCTTGACTTCAGCTAATTTACTTTTCGTCAGCATAATCGAAAGCCAAAATTCGCCGCATTGATAGCAGCGGATGCAAAGCGCAGGCAAATCACTAAATTTAAAGTGATAAAAGTTACAAATATATTCATTACTAGTACTATCTTTTATTACACACACATACGAATATGCTTCATCCATTTGACAAAAAAATGATTTTAGTTATTTAAACAAATTAACTAAAAAAAATATTTTGTCAGACGTCAATGTCGCTAAAAAGACTTGTTTTGCTTTCATTTAAATTAAAACATCAAAATTACCACCAATTATGTACAAATCGATTTTGTTATTATGTAATTGAGTAACTGCATACATTACTTACTGTATGTAATCGCTTTATTTACTTGCTATGTTCAGAACAGTTTAGAAATATCTTCAAGGTCAATAATAGCTTTTAATTCTTGTCATATACATGGTTTGATGAAGAATGTATGTTTGATAACTGTTTTTTATTTTTATTTAAAAAGACAACTGTTTGAAAGTAATGTACCTAATTATATTCCACAGGGATTGTTCCGCCCGCTGTTATCATGCGCTCCAGTGGCAATGGTGGGTCTGGACCGCGGGGCACACACCCAGGACCTTACAAAGACCATGCAGTACATTAGTAATGAAAAAGTGAAACTCAAAATCGACCCTAACACCATGAAGTAAGTACTATTTTATCTTTGAAAAATATGGATCTGAAGTAGAATGAACAGTTTGTATAATGTCAACATAACGCAAAGATCACTTCGCAGAGTTTTAAATTCGCATAATCACCACTTAGCAAAATGTCAACTTCTGCATTCCGTCACTCCCACTGTAGTTGTGGCCTCTGAAATCTTGGAAGTTTTGTCCTGTTGATATTTGATGTATTTGGCGTTTACCTACATTTCTTTCCTCGGTGTTTCACACATTTAGAGGCAGGCAAATTTTGTTACTAGCAGTTCTATTCTCTAAGGAAACAGCCTTACAGCTTACCTTACGTACAGCTCACGCTCGCAAGTTCGTTTCGGCATACCTAAAGACGCCTCTGTATAGCAATGCCGAAGGATTCCTTGCCATGTCGTGCCGAAAGTGGGCGTTGGGCCTTATGCCTTATTGTGATATTTTTATTACACTGCCTATAAAAATAAATTGTTCTCAAATTACTAAAACAACAATTTTGTTCGTTGCCGGTGGGCCAACAGTAGAGAAACCTCTCTTGTCAGGCACCCCCAGATACGCTTACAATTCGTATTTAAGGACAATATTGTTAAAAATCAGATCAGATATATTGAATGAGTTCTTCAATATCAACATCAATCTTACCATTTTTACGTCATCACGTTTTAAGTCCGGGAGATTAAACTAAGTTGGACCCTAAGTTTATTTTCTTCTTGTATTTTTCGTATACGTCATACGCATATAACGGTAACATAGCAGTCATGCACTCATAACTCATCGAGATTATTGCCGTCTTACTCTAATGCTGAAATCAACTATAGGTACAACACGTTTAAGTTGTTTAATGTGTGGGGATAGTGGATGTCTAATTGCTCTTACTTCGATCATGTTCTTCATTTGATTAATTGAAAAGGTAAACCGAAAAGGTGGTTTAAATCCTATGTTTAGAAAACGAAATAGTACTGAAAAATAGATAAAGAACCAATGGTTTCTGCAAACGTAAAGGATTCCTTCACCCAATAAAATAAATATAAATCAATAAGTTACCAAGATGGCAGAGTACATATCTTCATCACGCAACAACACGCGGTTGCATGTTACAATCAATGTGAAGCTATTTATATCAATCTAAAGCTATCTAGCTAATAAAACAAGTTGCTATGCTAGGACTGTTAGGTTTTAGACTGTTGGTCCTATTACATAACAAAAGTTTGATGTGTAATAAGTATTGTCGTACCACTATATCACAGTACTCGTCTCTTTATATACAGTTACCAACACAGAACTAAGAATATAATCTTTCAAGTGCCACCAACTGCATTCTGTCGAATACACCTGCCGCCAGTTAAGCACACTTATACGATAATCGTATTTTACACGCATAGAAAACTCTACGCCAATTTGTCACAGAGGATTCATTATGTGAATTTCTCTCTTAACTGTTGCGCTCATTTCCTACCACTTTATTCTCAATTCTATGTTTGTCAACCTAAGTACGAAGTTACTTTACACACGCCTTTTTAATTCTAAGTCCATTATTCCCAGGTTAGATAAACGCGTAGACAAGCCGCTTGTCGTAATGATCAACTGGTTGCTGGCGCGCCAGAAGCATGTTATGAAATACGCAACATTATATTTAGAACAAGGTTTCGACGTGCTCTCTGTGTCTTGCACTCCGTGGCAACTAATGTGGCCGCAAAAAGGATCTCAGGTTCGTAGCTAGGTTACTTGAATAGAGATAAAACGGAAACACTAAAAGGTATCTGAAAATACAATCCATTTTCCACATGTTTTTACTTCACGACGACTCGTTATTCAGGTCGTACCAAGAGGTATTTGATTCTTCGAGATATAAAAACAATGTTGTCTTCAGACGCCTTACACACGGCCGTCTGGTACCAAATTAGGTCTCCATATATATAACTAGATACGTATATATTAGATAGAAAATCATCAGCATTTAGGATCACGAACAACAAGATCAGCAGGTTCTTTTTTCAATCAATCGTTGTTCTGTCAAGTCATATTGAACTGTTTTCATTGTAGTTGATAGCGGGTGATATGCTGAAATTCATGCACGTTAACGAAAACGACCAGCCTCTCGTGGTTCATGGGTTTTCCGTTGCCGGCTACATGTGGGGGGAGGTATGCGTCCAGGTCATGAAGAATCCAGAATTGTAAGTTATTATGTTAATACTATTAATAGTAGTAATAGTAGAGGCAGAACTTGCTGCTCAAAAAGAGTCGGTCTTTAATTACTTGTATAACTCTACGGGCTCTCAACCTAATTTTCTATGTATAGTACAGCACTACGGTAATTGAAATAACTTCCAAAGTCCATCCGAAAGGCCTCCACAAAGATTGCAATGCTGCCTTGAATTGCAAATGGACCTGGATCTCAAATTGCTGCAAATGTTTTTACTACAATTCTTTATTTGTGATGACGCAATAGACCTTTTTATCAATAAAATTGGACAAATTAATGACATATCCGAATGAGCGTATTAAACTGGGTTTGAACATGAAATACAATTCCTAACTTCAGATACCAACCTGTTATGGATCGTGTGGTAGCCCAAGTGTGGGACTCAGCCGCCGACATCAGCGAGCTCTCTATTGGAGTACCCGCCGCTGTTTTTCCCAAAAACCAAATCATGCAGAAGACACTGAGGGCTTACATGGAGTAAGTACAAAAAAAACATACTACTTGTTAGAGTTTATCCTGAGTCGTTTCTGTCGTAAAAATAATATAATATATTACAAATGATATATACAATAATATACAAATGATATATGAAAAATGATAAATGATATATAAATATACAAATGATATATGCTAAAATGATCTTCAGTTGTAATAATAGCATTATTGTAAAACAGTAAAATAGAAGTAGTGTTCGGAAGAAAGTACTAAATGTTCGTACAAAATAAATTCGTGAATAATTTATTAATCACAGTGTACCAACATAAAGAATATGTATATTTATTTATAAATGTGTGTAATTGTTTATGTAACTTTATTTTGTTTTATATATTTATTGATAAAAAAATATTTGAAACCATTGATTACAATTGTAACCTCGGTGCTACCTTACAAGATTTCTACACTTGGCCGACAGAGAATATCCAGAGCATTAAGTCCGCCGATGTACATAAGTATATGAAGATGCAAATAAATAATAATAAATATATAAATCTACCATGTGAAATAATAATAGTTATAGATTAATAACTCTACCCTGTAGTTATTCAAATTTCAAACAACATTTGTAAGTTTCATTCGTTTTATTGAAAACTGACCACAGTTTGGTAAAATTACAATACGCGTAGGATTACTACATGAAGTTTGTAAAATTATAACTCATTTTAGTAGGTTTCCTCACATGTTTTGGTAAATAACTCGAATTGTATTGAAATTAAATTGGCAACACACTGTTTTGTAATTTTACTCATATTTTGTTTTGTAAAACATTTGTAATTTTACTAAAAAAATTAGCAGTGTTTTCTCGCACGTTTGTTAGATAAACTGAGAGAAACAGAAACGGGGGAATAACCGCATAGGGTTAGAACCATCAAGATCAGATCAATAGCCTAAGCACTTTTAAGCGTCTATGCATGTATGAGATCTCGCTCGAACACTGTTCGAATATTTAAATTCGAATTAGTTACCTCCGCTTTTTTCTCATACATGGTTAGTTGTCTATTATTGGTGTGATGGGAAATAAATGATGGTACATTACGTTTATTACTTGTGAACCCAAGGCCGCAGGTGGTAACGATACTCGATCGATCAAAACTATATAAGTATTCCTCTCGTCACCATCAATGCCATTATGACGATAAAAAATTTAAAACTGATTGATTTGATAGATAGATAGATAATACTTGTGTACACCAGGGTTTTACAGACATTATAAAGTAATTAAACGAACAACAGATGTAATGTACCTACAAAGGGCGGCCTTATCGCTTAGAGCAATTTCTACCAGGCAACCTTTGGATGGACTGGATTCATTTTGAACTGGTGATAGGTATACAGAAATTATTGTAATAAATAAGGTCTTAACCTATGAAATATTTATCATACATAAATCCTACTTATCTTTATTTATAGATTAATACGATACATACATACGTTAATATATACATACACAAATTTTCAACTATGAGACACAGATAATGCTCATATAGCATAGTCTTGTAAACTAAAGTACTTTATTTACTTACTCTTTTTTTGAATTTTTGTAAAGAATTGAATAGTTAGTGACGTTATAATTTGTGAGAGTATTGTAAGACTATTTTTAATGTCTTTATAATGAAAAGCGTAATTAAAATTTTGTAATTGGGATTACAAATATATATATAAGTTATATATTTAAATATTAATATATATTAATAAGGAATAAAAAGTTGGTTTCAAAATATTTGATAGCGTAAAAATGGGCCATGTTCGCCTCAGACCTCGTATTCCAGTGACGTACTGCTCTTTCCGTTAGACTTATGAACCACTATTGGTAAAATATTTATTCTTTTACATTTGCGAATATTAGTGTAAAATCTAAATTGTGTAACATCTAAATGTAAAAATAGAATTATTAGAATTTTTCTTGCTCACACGGTTATATGCACGATACATAGGTATCTATACTAATATTATAAAGCTGAAGAGTTTGTTTGTTTGTTTGTTTGTTTGAACGCGCTAATCTCAGGAACTACTGGTCCGATTTGAAAAATTCTTTCAGTGTTAGATAGCCCATTTATCGAGGAAGGCTATAGGCTATATATCATCACGCTAAGACCAATAGGAGCGGAGCACCAATGAAGAATGTTTCAAAAACCGAGAAAATTTATTACTATTGAGAGACGCAGACGAAGTTGCGCGGGTCAGCTAGTCGTGTATATAACCAAAAAACCAGTTTAAATATTTTTGTCTTTCTGTCGGTTCCGCGTAATCATCAAGACGGCTGTACTGATTTTGATAATATTTCCGTACCAGGTAGCTATATAAGGAGTAATTTAGGCATTTTTTCTCTTAGAAACACCCTATTTTGCCCAGTCCGGGAATCGAACTCACTAATGCAGCGCTTTTTAAATTCCACGTGAACGAAGTCGCGGACACCAGCTAGTATAGTATAAAGAGAAGGAAAACTTTACACAAACCCTATACCAACCCGTCTGGCCAGGGTGGTGTAGGCCGAAATCTCATTTATTAGGAGATGTCCAGCAGTGGACTATTAAAGGCTGTTGATGTGATGTGTGATGTGATATAAGTATTTGGTTAAAAACTACAAAATTGACAGTGTGTTTTTTTTCTAATGGTACGATTTTTTTACAGATATCACATGAAGACATTTTACGATGCGGCGACTGTTCATTATATCCGATCGTCGCAACTGTTCCATACGAACTTGTGTCACGCCCCGGCTCTGTTCCTGTTGTCCCGAAGCGACCCAGTAGGTGCTGAGAAGAGTAATAGAAGTGTATACGACAGCTGGGTTCAAATGGGCATTAAGGTATGAACATTTAGGTATATGCAGTATCAGAAACCGTAAACCAATCGTATTGAACGTAACTTTTATTAACTATGAGTAAAATTGATCTTGATCAAGGCTATTGGAGTAGCAAATAAACCAGATGGTAAGCGTTTACCAGGAGTTATCTAGTAATAAGGCTGGCAACACTGCCTGGTTGATGCGTCGAGAATGACAGAACAGAATGGTTATTTAATATCATCTCAACAAATAGTACTTAATTATCATTTAGATGGGTCGATAGTACTTCTAAATATTTAATAATAAATATTTGCGTTAAATAGGATTAATTTGTATCTAAATCGGAATACTGGTAATGCCTTGCATATTGATAAGTGTTTTGCGTGTTTATTACAAAAACGAATGCTCAAAAATACAGCTGAACGATCAAATGGAATAAAAATTCCGAAGGGTACAGTACGTACTATACAATAATGTTTTGTTGTATTATTGATCATGTATGCATTTTTTAAATTATTTTTTGTGTTCCTCAGTGCACCTGGAAATGCTGGGACAAGTCGCCCCACGTGCAACACTATACACATCATGCCAAAGATTACGTTGCAGCTCTTTACGAACACTTTAACGCATACGGGCTCGTCAGTCAGCCAGAGAAAATGCGCATGCGGTTATAAACGTAACATACAACACTACAAGGGTCATTTTCATTTGAAACTTTTGGTCAGACATACCTTTTTTGTAACGTTGTTTAATTCTGTAAATACGCTATTCTTTGCGCGTTTTAGAAGCGGAGAATACTTATACACATAAAATACTCACGCCTCATTCCCGTCCGAAGTAGGCAGAGACCATGCAAATACGTACGTACGTACATAAAGTCCCCTTCGACACAAAATATTCCTGTGCGGGTGTTGTCTTTCTAAAAGAAAAAAAATACATTTAGAATTTTTTGAGAAACACGTAATGTAATCTGGATAAATTATAATGTAATCTGGCCTGTTTTGGCTACTGAATCAATGGTCAGTCAAATTCTCTTGAAAATGGCTCTCAGCAACTGTTTGTTTATCTATATATCACCGCAATACGTGCATTGGCTAATTACAATATTACTAGCTGGGTTGTGTCTGAACAACCATAGCTTTGAGCATATTTCGTACGAATTTAGTATGAATTAGTTAATAAACGTTAAACGTCAATTAGAAGATCGAAGCTTGAATAGCTCGATAGAATTGATTGCTGTGTAGGTATGTCAACAATCCTGATCTGTTGTGGACTGATCAAATATAGGAATTGAAGTCCTTCGACTTTTTCGAAGCTGACAATTTTGTTCCCAAAAAGGAATTAAAAATTAAGCTAGCAATTCACTGAATTCTCGTATAACGAGATGTACTTGATATCTTCAACTTTTAACTTAATACTCAGATCACAAATTTTATGCAAGTATTTATTATAAAATGATCTGATTTACTGCGAAACTGTGCCTTATAGATAATGACCACTGGGCATAGCTTACAAATACTTTGCCTTTGGTAAATATCGCATATATGTGGAACTTAATCAAAAAAAAACATTTAAAAATTACTTTATAAAAGAACAATTATCTATCTAGACCGCAATATTTACTCTTGTTATTTTTTATACATACTTAGTGTTTTTATCATAACTGTATATCATTTATATATTGTATTCATTCACATGACACGTACGTTATGTCGAATTTAGTTAATATAAATTTATTTGCAATATTTATCTTTGTTTTTACAATACATACAGGGTGTAAGGGACGTCGTAACGAATACTGAAATACTTACAGTATTCAGACCATCATTCTGAGTCGAAATTCATTGGTATTTTCGGCCGAAAAATTAAACGTTTTATGCAATCAGCTATCAAAGGTTAAGGTCCCGTATTAACTACATTGTTTTCGGTAAAATGTTTTGTTTACTCATTGTGTTATAATTTTTCATAATTTAAAATGGCAAATGACAAAAAAACCCGGCAGAAAATTTCAATGATTTTCGACTCAAAATGATAGTCTGAATACACTATTTCTGTATGCGTTACGAGGTCCAGACACTGTATACTGTAGGACTTACACGGTTCACATTTCCTATAAAATGCAATTGCGTTGTAGATGTCTGATTACGTTTACACGTGTATCAGACAGAGTATTAGAAAATTATTTTATCATGTACCATTTAAGAATGTAGTAAGATTTTTTATAAATTAGATTTATACTCTATGCTGTAGATTAAATAAATGAGAAATAATTTGAAATATAGCTTTTATTTTAAAGAAACCTTTTGTAAAATATACTTTCTTACAGATTTTCTAAAGGTTTGTAACTTCGCAGGACAGTTATGTATGCTGTCCAGCAAAGAAGTAATCAATTTACGCGTGAACGATTTTACAAGCTTTTACTTTGCTTGCATGCTTGTATGTATGTATGATTAAATCTTGTAACTTAATTTTAAAGGCATTACCCGCAAGCGATTATGCTGTAATTTTGAAAACGCGTTTGGTGATGATATTAAATAAATATTAAAATCGGACACATCCTGCCCCATCTGGAACATTCCTTTTTTACTAGGGCTTGAGTGTGCGTGTACGTTAGATATTATATCAGTTTTCGCCGCCTCGGCACTGAAGGACAGGACCTCTCCACCTTGTGGCTCTGTATACACAGCGTCAACCATCCCTTCTATGCATGACACAGGTTGCACAGCGGTGACACCGAAACTGACCGACTGATGGATCACGTCCAAATGGCTACAGACTCAGTGCTGCAGCAGATCTTATCCGCAGAGATCGTGATACTTGGCGACTTTAACGCACAAGAGTGGCACTACCGTGGCTTACGCAAGGAGATCTTGTAACGATATCGCGCTTTTTTTTTGCTATGCTGAAATCCTCTCGGATACCACACACCGATGGTTATGTCGAACTCGAACCGACCAAAAATCCGACCTGGGCCATCTACGGCGTGTTTTTTCTTATGGTATAGGGGGCAGACGAGCAGACGGGTCACCTGATGGAAAGTGACCAATGCCGCCCATGAACGTCTGCAACTCAGGGAGTCACAAACGGTACCTAGACCGTACCCGGGTCTGGCAGGCCGGGAGGGTTCTAAACCACTCCCGATCCCGTTCCGTCATCTCCTTTGCAAGCATAACTTGCTCGCAGAAGGGAACTGCTGAGTTCCACGCACTCTCGCTCCGTACCATGGCGGTATCATGACCTCACCGAGCGAGAGAATTCCCAGTTCGATGGCCGCCACGAGGCAACGCCTCTGTTTCAGCCACGGAGGGCATTCTGCGGCTATCGCAGTGATGTCACTCAGGCATTGGCTCTTTGCGGATCAGACACAGGTGATCTCCTAAGCATCCTTTCCCGGTGATCACCATCATTCCGGTTTGCGCAACCGGAATGAGAAGGTTCCGTTATGCCTCTCGAGCCAATCCTCCATAACGGGTCTTACCGCCGCGATAACGGCGTACCCAACACGATTTCGCCCTGACTTATGGCTTGTCACAACTAGTATCAAGCTTATACGAGTCCCAGATGTGGAAAGTCATGAGCCTTCACTGTTAGACTGATCCGGACGGTTATAAAGTCACCGTCGAGGCCCCACTCGGCTCCTCGGATCATTACCTATCCGGAATACGGTGCCACTCTTGTGCTTGCCGCGGTCGAGAGTTACAGGCTGCTTCCGCGTATGGCACTATGAAGAAGAAGAGAAAAGGGTGATAAAGATCGAATTATTTCATGAAACCATCAATAGGTCCGTGTGGTGACGGATTAAGAATACAAAGTGTCACCCCTATTCATCCCGTGGGTGTCGTAAGAGCCGACTAAGGGAAAAAACTACGCAGAACAACAGCACTGCAGAGAGAAGGAAAACTTGACACAAACCCTATACCAACCCGTCTGGCCAGCGTGGTATAGTAGGCCAAAACCTCCTTTCTAAGGAGAGGCTTATGTCCAGCAGTGGACTATTAAAGGCTGTTGATGATTGATGATCAATACAACCAGTTTCTCTGCAGATTAAACTTTGGCCCTCTACGCAAATTTAAATCTGTTCAGAGCCCAGTACGTATTTATAAGACTGAAACTTATAGAAAAGAACTCCGACATGTTGCCGTCATATAACATTTTGAACAACGCAAAGAAAATGTGCTATCCTCTTTTCTCGAGTATTGACGTAGGTATCTAACAGACACAAGTGCTAAAGTAAAGCTACAAAATTTATTAGATCATACTATTCACCGTATTTTGATGATAGAATTTGTTTACAGACCTTCACAAAGACATCTCAAGTTGTTTAGTAAATAGGGATGTGATGGTTCATCAGGACACAATGCATACAAACAAGTTCTACTTACTGGATGAAAGTTATTAATTTCAGACCCCAACTTATTATTAGTTTATTGGTTCCTTTGAATCTGAAAGATGTAGAAACAAATTCGGTAATTTGGTATAATCTTGCCTGTTCTTATGTCCGGTATTGTCGCCCTATGACATTGGAATTTTCTAAAGAAACTCCTGAAAACACTAGGTCTGTAATGAATGATAGAAGATCACAGATTAATGAGCTACAGAACTCACTTATACATGAATCCGGACCTGTGCTTCACCTAGGTTCTTCCCGGGGTGAAGCTCGGGCACTACATAGAGTCTGTCATACTGCATCACTGTACAATAACGTAATCAGTTGGAGCCTGAACTGATTACGTTATTGTACAGTGATGCAGTAAATTGTTTTCCTTATAGGGTTCAAAAGATCTAAATAATTATTTAAAAGGAGTGAATTTATATTATTTATTTTAAATAAACCTTTTTATTTATTTTTAACAAATGTCGTAACGGAGAGTTGGAATTCAAAACACAGTAAAGAGTTCAACAAACCATATGTTACCCTAAATAAAATTGCTAATTCTGAAATTGAAAAATACCGATTCTTTAGACTTTTCGCAACTCAACGCCGCAAAGAACACTGAAAAAGATTTGCAATTTCTTCAAGGCATTTTTAGGAAAAAAGCTTTAAAATAAATTTAACTGATGATATAATGAAAAATGTATCTGATCATCAGTTTGTAGTAGATATGATCATATAGATACATGATAGATAGTATCATATATACTCCCCGTGTCTCACCTAGTTGGAGAACCTAGAGTGAGGAATGATAGCAAGTGGGTACTTACGTTTTTTTAATCGGTTACTTGAGGGCACTTGAAAATTGTGTTTTTGTTAATCTTCATGCTGGTCAGCAATACCACGGTACAATTATAATACAGTAGCGTAACTCGGCCGCATGATAGAAATAAATGCCTACAGCCGCGCGGTACGTAAACATGCGTTAGGGCTGCCCGTCTCCAGCATTTTAATTATATTTGCCTACTTTCTGTTTCTATTTAGATTTGTGATTGTAAATATCCTTTTTATATAAATAAATGAAATACTTTGTATATTGAATAGGAAGTGTTCAATAAAAATGCGCGTTGTTTTTTGATTGGTAGATTTAATTATTTTATTATCTTTCTGCATTGGAGGAGTTCAAGTTTCAATTTTCTTTTTCTTGGAATGTTACTAGAGAGACTCGTTGAGGTTTGAGCAAAGATTTCATTTGTTGCATGTTCAGTATGTGTTCTATTTTCATTTCCTACCAACGGAGCA